AGTATAATTGAAAATATTACAGATTAACAGTCCACTGTTATGAATTAAATATAATAATAATAATCTTTTATACATATAGCACCGTTACTGTTAGTAAGCTAAATACAAACATTAGAGAGATATTTTAACAATGGATTACTTTGATATATCAGCTGATAGTTATTTTTAGGACTTTTATCACTAATGTTGTTTATATTCTATCTATGAAATAATAGAATTTAACCATTAAGATTATAAATTTGAAAAAGTAATATCCAGATTAATAAATGATTGTATGATAGCTTCAATAAACTGGAATTACATTCAGTTTACTTAGTGTAACATCTTGATCAATAAGAAAACACTTAAAACAATGTACACTAATTACAATTATATGATTCACTCATGTGATTTATTCTTTCTTTGGTAATGTTATTTCATTTATTTATTTAGCAGTAATACTATAATTATCAATATAATCTTGAAAATGTGGCTTTTTTTGCTGTTTATTATACATTTTCTACTACTACTTCTTCTCCCTCATTACATATGACTGATAAGAGTTAAAAGGTAAACAAAAAATATTAATGAGTATCTTATCAACGTGTGGGCAAGGAAAATAATGATTGGTTGTTTTACATAGTCTAACAGGTATTAGCTAATTTATATATTTTCTTATTTTTATTGTTATTGTCTTTGTTGTTGGTTTTTGGAGTAGAAATATACTCACGTTCTAGTCAGTTTAGTCACATATTCTTGATCTAAGTTGTGTTGAAGTTTTGTAGAATAGACACTGGGACGGTATCTAATGTAGATAAGGTGAAGTAACTTCCCAATCGTGTAGACAAGGAAAACCAAACGTTATAACACGTATAAAAGTATATTCTTAGATTTTAAAAAAGTTACATGGGATTGGTTTTATAGGGAATGTTATCTTATTTAGAAAACTGAAATCACAGCTGGAACCAAAATGAATGTTAAGTTGGCTTTCTTCGGTATAACTACTTAAATCGGTTTCAGTAACATGGCTACGACTTTGAATTATTCATAAATATTGATTTGCTCTATTAAAATTATTCTTGCTGACAACATAAAATTGTTAGCTTATTAAAAGGTGATATTTGTCACTGAGTGACGTCACCTAGAGTATTAACAAATAATATATACGGCGCACAAAACATCCTGTACTATGTAGCCAAATCACATGGCACTACAATGATTTTAATAACATAAATATAATTTGTTATAAAGTTCTGAATTTTATACTGACACACAAAGATAATGAAAATAAGAATTTAATAAATGTTATCTGTAGAATGAGAGGGAGAAAAAAATAGGAAAGTAACCTATTTCATACTACAAGTCAATCGTCTGACAGTCATCATGTGAATAGAATCACTAATTAATGGGTTAAAAGTGAGTAGTATCAACTGTAAATCGAAAGTAATTCTTATCATAAACCAACATTACGTGAAGCAATAGATGACAATTCACTACTGTTTCATTCCAGTATAAAACTACTCAGTACAAATAGTAGTTGTTGTTGTTTCTGTTGCTGCAGTTTGGATCCGGAAACTTCGTATTTACAGGAGACAGTACTAGTACGTCATTGACATAAATGATCATAAAAATCTAATAATATTTATCTGGACTTTCTTTTAATAGGAAAAAGTATGTTGATTGTATATCCCAGTTTGTGTATCTAACGTGGTGTCAGTCTGAACATGTTTCAAGTGTTCAAAAGATTTTATCGACAGTTTAACGTTAAAATATCATCCGAAACAGTTGAAAAAATACAGTTACACTTATGTTACAGACACCTACGTGATTCCAGAGCGTAATTTACCTAGACTATTACCGAATTCGTTACTACTGCCTTGAGCGATTCTCTTTCTGACCAATATTTATTATCAGATTCCATACGTTTATAATTTTCTTACATCTCTGGTTAATCAAAACTTAGTCTATTATCACCTCTAAATTAAATATATTCTCAATAACTCGTAACTTGTAAATACTATTTAAATATGGGGAAACATTTGAAGAATTTGGTAAGAAGTTGATTACTGGTAACACTCAACTGAATCTTTGCGACTAAAATAGGTCTCGTATACATCAAAGATATGATAACATGTCTTCTGCTTCTACAAGTTTGAAAAAAAGTTGTTTCTCACGTATTACTGAAGTTGTATTAAACAAGAACAACAGTGAGGACAATCGAGTGTATTTGTGTACAAAATTACTGAATACCGTAGTAAAATCAGAGAAACATATAGTCAACACTTCATTTGTAAAATCTCAATAAATTGTCTCAAACTTGATTGTTCCTTCTTTTACACACATACTATTCTCTGTTCCCATTCTCTTTTCTTCGATCTTCTTAACATTCTGCCCCCAGGCATTTCACTTTCGACTGACAACACATACTAATCACATCTGTCGACATCAGTGGCATACACCACATAGTTGGTGTTTTAAGTTGTTTGAAGTTGCTTGATTTGTCACAATTTTTACTGGTTAACAACATTCCAAATCTTCCTCTTACGAAATGTGCTGATTTTCCGCTTCATTCATCAATGAATATATCAAATTAGTTGTTTTAAGCAAATCGCCTACCAGAAATACGGAAAAAGATAGAAATAATTCCACTGCCAAGGAACTTTTGCGCTTTAGCCCGATGGAATCTGCTTCTCCTCCTTTCAAAACAATGAAAAAATGATCGCCACAATAAATTCCGAGTTCTAATGCATATGGATTGCTTACAAATACCACGAATGCTATTCTTGTCCTGCATTATAATACAGCACTTGCCTTGGAAAATAACTCAGAATGTGTTTGATGTCTATTTCAAGGTTACATTCTAAACATTAATTCTGTTCTTCGTCACCATTATTAACACACAAATACGTGTGGTTGAATAACTTTATACTGTGCTTAGAGGATTATATTCCACTTTTTGATAACTGAAGCTTGTGTGCCACAAGAAACTGTTTTTTCTCTTTTCCATCACTCCAGGAGCAGCATTGCTCGAAAGATATATGATCTACATAACCATCATGTGCCCCCCGTCACCAAGACAGGTCCTTAATTGTAGGCTGTCTGAACCGAACTTAGTTCATTAGTCTTAGGACAAAGGGAAATATATGGGAAGCTGCGAAAGCTTTTGTCTTCCAGAAAGAGTCAAATAACTGCAGATTGTATGTTACGTTTATGAGTGCACACGTGTACTGTTTTAAGTCTTTTGATTCCAGTTGACAGAGAGTAATAATACGTTCAGTGACTGAACGTATTCTGAGGTGTCTTTAGGTAGCCGGAAGAATCTTGTTAGCCGGGGTGACGGAAAGAAGAACCTGTAAATCCCTACATAGTATTTCGTTGGATAGTATAATGGTCAGTTTGTTTCTTCTCCCTGTCCTATATTTTAACCTTTATTTAGGTCTCTTTTCAACCAAACTTTGTTTTTCTCAACTCAAACATCAAAATTGAATATCCAACCCCGTAATCCAGACCACTCTTCTATCCGAGTACCTACTCTCAATAGGACCAGTAAGCAAAAATTAAAAAGAGAAAAGGTTGACTTAAGCTACCGTGGTGCCGAATAATAGGAATAAACAACATAAAATCGGTGGTGACATAGCATGCTCTTGCCTTGTTGGAAGCGGAGACTCAGCGTCTGAATATAATTTCTGTAGTGGCCGTGTTCACTGTCGCAGTGATAGAACAGCACCTTACCAGTTCTATGGGATTATGCCAAGTCGATCTTTTCTCGTACACCTGCTCATGGAGTAGAAAAAAATGCACCGTAACAATTAAGAGAAACGAAGCATGAAGCCCCACTGGAAGCAAGCGTACTAATCATCACAAGTATATACAAATCGACAAACACAGGCCCAACCAACACAGGCAACTATAGTAGCTACAATCCAAGGTCATACACAGATGAAAACACCAGTTGTTGTTAATACCCATATATTTGATAATGGTAAGCAGCGCTGGGTGGGTGTTGGGAAGGGTAATGGTTGAAGCATAACTCCCAAAACGGTAAAAATTTGGACAAAGACGTTAGACGAAGCTACTTGGTTTTTTAGTATTTCAAGGTTAAAGAGTATCATATTAGAAAGTATGGAGCGTTGGGACTAATACTGTACAATCCCGAGAGATTGCGTAAGTTACTTCCGATCGAGGTGAACCTGAGATTCAGTACATGGTACAGACGAAATTTGACTGACATCCCAAAGACCATCGGTTGAGCTATCCACTCAAACTCGAGCTAGGGAAGACAAACTATAGTATGTAACTGGCCACGCCATGTGGTCAGCGAACGCTCAAGAGCCAAACAGCGTGGTAGGTCACAGGGTACTTGAGCTAGTACTTGACAGTCAGGTTGATATTCACATACATGATATGCAACATTAGCTTCAGTTATCACTTAACATAGGCCTTCCCTTCACTACCATAATATGTCTAGGCGACATCGTCCGTTGAACTTCACGACCAATACATTTCCGCGTTTCGCAGCTATAAACTTTAAAAACGGAGAGGACATAATTGAGACCTTTCAGGATTGTAAAGCTCGATAATCGGGCGCCCTAGCCACGTAAATTGTTGTGAAAGGCAATCAAGGCCAATTAGAGGACGGCAAAAATACCCAATAAAACACTCCCTGTTGTGGATTAACCTTGGTCTGCAACCCACAGAAGAGAAAAGAAGATTTAGGTCTCGCTAACAGTACAACCTATACGAGCGATTGATCCACAACGACCAGCTATGACGGAACTGGCCAACTCATTTCAAATACCTATCTTCCTAAAAACCAAAATCCCAACACTGGTGCAGATCAGAACCAGAGGATAATAGTAAGTGGTCTAAGAGGTCAAGAGGTCCTTAAGAAAAGATTCACATTATTTAAATGCAGCAACGTTCTCTTAGAACACGAAACCAAGTTCTGATATATTATTTCGTTCCTTAGTGCACAGTTTTAATATTGAACAAAATATGTTGCCATAACTACAACCTTGCCAGTAAATTTCTGTTAACCCATATTTCAAAAAATGACAAATTGACTCATAGTTTCAACTATCATTGACTGTTCGCATTATCAAATGTAGGTTCATTCTATTTGCTTGCTTATTCATTTGCTTACCTTTTTACAAATTTGATCCTACAGATTAAACCCAATCTTCTAATATCAGGAAAGATTTTATCCATTTTGAGTAAATTTTGTGGAAACCCCGAATTTAACCCAAAACTTTGGCGAAGATCTTTGGACTTTTGGGAAAACCAACATGGTTTTTGATAGATTCTTAATAATGTCTGATTATTCAGAATAATCTCATCATAAGAAAAGATTCGGATATATACTTGGAACGAATTCTTCCTGTAGATGTCATTTTCGAGGATGTAAGCTGAGTCTTTTATCAGATATCACCTCGGTTTTTGGATTAGACTAGAAACGTTTGTAGATGGTTCTGCAGACAAAAATTAATCTTTAGTTAAACTACTGTTAATGAGGAAGTATTGGTTTATTTAAAACATTGCCTTTTCATTAACAAAAAGCACCTCGTCAGACTGAATAGTATTTTGTTCTATTTGGACGATTCCAGAGCATCTTCTGTCTTACTTCATATAAAAACCTACCAACTACGGCAAATTTATTTATCTTATTGTTTAAGAAAGACGTCAAACTGGTAAATCATGCGCGCTGAAGTTGGTAAAATAGAAGTAAACGCATATTTACATGCGCAGGTTAAATGAAAGAATCGGTGGTCATCCAAATCCAACAGAAAATGGTTCCAGCCTGAGGGTACTAGTGATCCTCTGCTCCAAGACACGGAAGCTCGTTAAGCAAGAAACGACCATACAACTACAAATAACTGGAGCCGGTTGTCTCAGAGGCTTTTAAATCTTGTAGAGAACATGCAAAGCATTTTGGAACTTGGGTGAAGATATTTTCAAAATAGTCACCCAACAAATGTGAAACCGTATCCTAAATGTATGAATAGGGAAGCGAGCTTATGTTTTAAATACAAAGTGGATAAGCTGTAGTTCATTCAAAAGCAACGGCTAAACTGGCAAATGGTCTGTTTTCTTATGTGTAGCTTTTATTATATCATTCGAATGATAAACAGACAGATGTTGTTTAGTTGGACCTAAAAACACTGTTACTTTTTGACCCTTGTTTCTTTCGTGATAGGTAAAACTTTGTATTGAGAATAAGTTATTTCCTGAAAAAACTAGCGGCTAAAATTTATGTAGATTTATAGTGAATCCTATATTCCGTCTTTTCTTATAATTACGAAGACTTTACAATGTCTTATACAATTTTTCGACTTTTACTGTAAGTTACATAGTTACTGTCTAAAAGTGTGATTTCAAGCAATAAACACATTATTTAATATTACTGCAAATGGTTGATGACGAAAATAATATACTCAGCTCATATCCATGTTTAAAAGCAAGTTTTACTCGCATATACTTCGGATTTTAACGTATGAAGTGTAACATAACAAATTTTTAATACTGAAAGATACTTTTAAGCGTGAGTAAATGTTTTTTCACAACCACCATCATTAATAGGTGGCTTGCATCGCCACAATCAAACAATCGGTATTTAGCACCTGAAAACGACTATTACGTTTGTTTGATTACAGCAAGATAGAGGACACTTATATCAACTCTAAAACAGTGTCTGGAAGTATGAATATAAATTTTTATTTACTTTTAACCGTGATATTTTACATGGCTTTATTAGCCTAAACATTTATGAGCACATCGAAGAATATTCTATCATTGTATAATTGTCTGTTAATTTTAATACTCATAACGTCAATTATTTATACATTATTCACTTCAAGTTTTAAAAATGATACAAGAATTCACTGATGAAATCGTTCATGGGGTTCAATGTTATTCACAATGTTCAGAAACCAAGTAAGCGAGATCATACTTATCATAATAGTGTAAATTATACTTCACTTTTAATCAATTGCTTATTAACGACTAGGTCCTAGGAATCTTATAATCAAAACCGTTAGAACTAGCGTGCAGTATAAAAGCTAAATGAAAATGAGATGAAAAGCTATCCGTATCCGATTTTAAAATGATCTTTTGGCAATTTTAAGTCAAAAAATAATAAAAATGATTTCTTACACTTCGTTTACCTATAGGTGGATAAACTTTGTCGGATATGTTACAAACTGATGGAGTGATAACCACTTATGAGAACTATAATAGCAAATAATGAAGAAACGGCTACTAAAGCTGTGAGCAAAATAAAATACTTAGTTTTGGTATTATCGTTTTCAACAATAATCCGTAGCTAACATGTAGTGTACAATACTCAGAGGTCAATTATGTCTTATATCAAGGTTGCTTATTAATTTTGTCAAACTTTACCAGTTGAATTAAATGCTTCATTCGTTGCGAATACATCTAAATCATTGTGGTGTATCCGTAGACACACTCACTCGATCATCATCATTATGAGGACTTGATATGGGATGCTGACACTACTGCAAATTTCAGTCCACTAAGTCAATTATAATCAAGAAAATGATTTCAGAGAAAGATTATTTTTAACTTGAAATATGAATCTATTATTATAACCAAGAATTTATTTCAAAACAAATTGCTGGGACGCATACGTAATCAGAACAAATTACATATGAAACTCGCTTTGACTACTCCTAACAAACTACAAAGTTACTAAATAAGTGAATTCAAAAACTAGGTTTACTCTAAAAATCGACGGTCGGTATTGAACTTTAAGCTGGTTTCAGAAGCTTGTTTACTAGCCACTATTCTCCTCAAGTTATAAAGCTAAAGAAATCTTAAGTATCACCAGTATGTTTTTTCAGAAGCGTTACGGTCTCATGGTTATCAGTGGTCTACTTCCTTCTTTGCAAAGGTAACTTATAATTAAGAATGCAATGTTAGTTATCTTGCAAGTCTTCAAATTTCAAAATCAAACTGAAAGTGTGAGTTTTAAGCAGTTTTAGATAAACACAAGTTCTACTGTTTTACTAATTTCGTCTTTAAAATCAATATGTCGAGCCTAAGGACTCTTAATGTTAGGGAACTAGAACCCTGAATAAAATAAAACCAGAATACTTTTAGATTCTCAATTTCTGGGGTGATTGTTTTTCAAATCATCACAATGGAATGAATCATCAATGCATAAACCTGAATAAAAGGCGATATTTTGTTATGGTACATAAAGTGTAAACTAATGGAGGAAAAGTCATATAACCAAGATGAATATGAGCAAAAGCGTAACAACAAAAACAAATTTCTTCGTAGATAATGACAAAGAGAATACATTTTATTTAATTGTAATCACAGATCTTGACATTCTCGAAACCTCACACTAGTTAGCTTTTACACCTATGCATTGGTCAAATCAATTTTCAGTGGTTCGCTGCATGTATGTTTTGTAAGCCAACTGCCTACCAGATATGTTTTCCTGCTCCGAATATTTATAATTCCTGACTTCATTCTTGATTCCAGTCTGAGCGGGAAATATATTAAAACCATCCATCATCAAATACTAGTGATCTACATATACTTTACACTTCATTTCTAAAATAATATTCATCAGCAATTCATCTGAACAAAATGCTTGTAATTATATTTCTGAATTAGTTTCAAGCCTACTCATATAGCTCGAAAATATATCCATTTTGCATGTACTTTAGCATGCATTACATTCATTTTGTAACGATGCATAATTACCTATTGTTCTAAGTTTTTTCTCAATGAATGTACACAATTAATAATCTTATAGATCATTTGTCGAGTTACAAATTCAAACGGAATCTTATCAAGTGTTTCATCGTGGTACGCAATCGAGACGGTATAAAACTCAAGAAGTAATTGCTTTTCTTGATAGTGATTTTGATGATTTCTCTCTAACTTTCAGCTTCAAACAAGCTTTTGCCATCAAGATGAAACACTGCATGATGACATACTTACTAACAACGATAAGTTGACTGAAGAAACAAGAATAATATGTTTTCTTAAACGTACTGAGCCAATCGTTACGAAAGAGATACAAAAAAATATCCACTCCAAAGTGTTTAGACAATCACAGTCAAGAAGACTATTTTATAGAAATAATGCATCGGTGAAACATACACTCATTCTAAATGAAGCAAAAGAATCCAAAGTAGTGTGAATACAATAAATTACTGATAAACTATTTGTTAGTTATCTGTTACAGGATTATCTTGGAATTCTAATGGGACACTATTAGCGATATCGTATCCTTTTTTCTTTATTTTAAACCTAATTCATTAGCTGACAATTTGTTCCAAATGGTAGGGTGAGCTTTTGACAAAGGAATAATTAATAAAAAAAATATGAGGTAGATTGAACCAAAAACTGCTGAGGAGTCCCACAATAGGATGAAACGGCAGTCCAGTGCTTCCAGCTTTTCCATGGTGGTCTAGCTTTAATTGACTCATGATCTCAACAATTGAAATTATTAAAATCCCTACAAAGCCCCTTCTGATAATAAACAAAAACATGTAGTTATAATTATGGAAAAGGTTAAATTATGTGTCACTTAGTTATTCAGTGGTTCGAACGTTGGATCTGTTGTTTTACAACCAAAATGGATTCTTGCTTTAAAACTAAACCAGTCGTTTACCATACGAATGCTTTACTTCACCACTTTAACATAACGTATCACAGATATGGATCATTGTGTCATACTGATTGGTGTACACATAATGGCATGGCTGCACTTTGGAATGTGTCAAATGAAACATTGGTAATCAATACTCCTAAGCAAAAATATGTAACAGATACTTGTCTAATGTGTATTAAATTTCATCCAACAGTTCCATCTTTGTTAGCCGGAGGGACATTTACAGGTTAGTTTAAATGCATATATATATATATATATATATATATATATCCTCTATAATTAGTAAGTGAAGGGTATCTAGAAATATCATGTTGAGATTGAGAAGACCCCTTTTTGCTCATCGGAAAGAATTACATGTTATTGAATATTATAAAGCGCGAAGTTTAATGGCAAAGTTTTATTGGTATGTTCATCGACCCCATTAAGAAGTGCAGAAGAAGTGAGCTATTAGAATATCTTTACAAGTGGCCAGAAGCCTACCCTGTTGATAATCAGTCGAATTCCATAAGCTGTTTTTCAGTTAGGAAAGAATTTTCGGGACTTACTTCATTTTAATTTTATGCATATGATACTGTCTATAAAGAAAATAAAGACTTCATAGTTAAACCATTCAACTCAAAAAATTAAACACTACTACCGTATCTTTTAAACTTCTGCGCTGATTGAGTCGTTTAACTTTTAAACTAAGTAAATTTATATCTTATCACATCATAGCTATTGCTTGATGGTTAAATAGGTTGATAGGATTGATAGGCTTTCCAACACGCATCAGATGATTCTGGTCCTGAATTAGGTTAGTCACACTTTAATTAATTTCTTAACTTGTCTTTAGATATAATGAAAGCGAAAACAACAGGTTATACAAGAAAAACTGAATTCATTCTACTGAAAGTTTACAGATAGCCTAAAAATTCAGGACCTAGTACAATTAAATATTAAAGGTTTGGCGCACTTTAGTTAGTTGATTTGAGATGGGTATTTGAAAGGGAGCTAAATATCAAGGTAAGTGGAACAGGATATAGGACGTCTTACTGAACATAGTCAGAATTGATGCTTGTTTTCATGTGTGAAAAAAACATGCGGTTATGAAGAACAGATAATCGGAGCTTTGAAAATAACTTCATTTTTGCTCTTAAAGTTTTGTTGGCTTTGCTTTGTTCATATTTATTAAGGGAACTGAGTGTTGTGAAATAAGTGATTTTAAAATGACAGGGTAACTCACATTTAATCGCATGAAAATAAGCATGCTCTCATGAAACTGGTTAATATTTTGTCTTTTACCTATAAGAACCTTATCACTAATCGTAAAATAGAGTGATCAAGTAATTTCAAATTACACTGATATATAACCTTTAAAAATCACTTAATTAATATGACGTCTTATGAAGACCAAAGAGTAATTTTTCGACGAATTCCACATAAAACCTAGTTAATCCTCTCTGAAAGCGCAACTTGCTAGAAAAGATCTAGATATCTTGGTTTCCCGTGGTTTAAAATCATATTCCACCTACAACTGACCCCGAAATAGTATTTTCCAAGCCCATTTTAGCAATGGGACTTTCAACTCAATTTCCTACAGTTCCATTTGACCTAATTTTATATAAATAGTGTTTCCTTCTTTACTTCAAAAGAATAAGAGCAATCTGGAGAGTGACCAAAAGGCAGGCAATGAAATCATTTAGAGGACTCAAATTCAAACCTTACGATGAACGCCTTAAGTAACCAAATCCTTATCCTTTAGGCAAAAACTATCCAAAACATCTCATATGATTTTGAGATGGTGGAGAACAAAACTCCATCAAAATTATCCAAAACATCCTTTGATGCCCTCTATTTCAACACAAACCTTGCGAGAATACTCGGAAGCTAGAGGTAAACCAGATTGTAAGCATACTTTTTACTCCTTGAGAGTAGTCAGGTGCGGGAATTCTGTACAGGTTTTCATGGTCCAAACAAATTCCCATGAGTCGTTCACTTGAAAACATAGCATATCCTTAAAGACTAAACATAATCTATGAGTAACTTTTATTTCTGTTTGTTTGATAACCCATGATTCTTACCTGGAGGTATCAGTGATCTGTTGCTACTAGACACGAAAGCTCGTTAGGTAGAGACTTCTGTGCATTTCACAACTGCCTGAACCATTAAGTTTCCTCTGAATAACTACAGTTAATGAATCACTAAGAAATAAGTAATACTGGGCAACTAGTTGGTGTATCCAAACTCCCTCATTAAGAGATAAATCGAACTATATATAAAACTCTAAAAGCTATCAAGCTAAAATACATGGATAAATTGTTTTTTTCGGTGAAATAAAAGTCTTGTAAAATCTCAATAAACAAATTGACAGTCATACTTTACAGACTCCATCAACTAATAACTAAAACAATATCTATTACAAAAATATTGTTATTTCTTTACAATCATAATGTTATTATATGATTCTTGAATACACTGTATTGTATTAATGTAAATATCATTTTATAACTGTATAATTAATGATAAATAAATGCAGGTAATGAGCTTTTAAGAGAATGAATGACACCACAGAGTGAGAAGTATCAAATAATTTTTAAATTCAGGATGGATGGGAAAATGAATGTGTTTGGCTTACTTAAAGACTGTAACTGAAGATCATAATTAAATCAATGATCCCAACTAGGTAATCTGCATTTCTAAATACTACTCAGTGCAAAAGCCCATAACCCCATGGGCAGATGTCATGTCTTGGTTTAGCTGTCTTTAGTCGTCCTCTACTTCATTCAAACTCTAACAACTATTACATTTCAGGTAGAAGGTGACTGGGGTCTGTTTTACGCATCTTCAGTCAATGAATTGCACAGCTAGATTAATCGACTTTAGGTTAGCATCAGTACTCCATGGATAAACTCTACTACGCTCGTTTGTTGTTACAATACCTCAGGCATGTATTAAAGATACAAAATAACTCTAACATCACCTATTATTCAAATACATTGTCAAATCACTTCTTGTTTTTTGCGTTGTTTATCTACCGTTGTCTAGGAGATTTAGTCGTCTGGAATCGTACCAACGAAAATGATCATCTATTAGCCAGTATCGGAAGTATGCAAAGTGGTCATAAGGATTGTATCAATCAAATCAATTGGATACCAGATAGTCTAGAGTCTAACTTACAAAATCTAACTTCCGAAAAAATCAGTCGGTATACAACAACTTATAAGTTATTAAGTTCAGGAAGTGATGGAAGAATTGTTTGTTGGCGAATTGATCTGTGTCACTTAGGAAATGTGAACTGTGTTAAGATGTAAGTGGTTAGTTTTGATTGAATATATCTTTATATTTCTTTGCATTTTTGACCAATTGTTATGACGTGTAATTTTTGCAAAGGATTTTTTAACAAAGACTAACATCAGTTGAAGAACCATTATAAGCCTGGTTTAAACTCCTGAAATATTGTTCACATGTGACTGTATACCATAACAAATCTGAGACCTACTGGTATCGCAGCTTGAAGACTACTGATTTGCAATCTTATGATATTCGTTTTTATATTCAAGAGTATTGTGATAAAACGTTATCGCTACCCAATTATATCATTAAGTCACACCACCTATTCAATTGACTTTGTAAGTCGCTGTGTTTTGATAGGAGGTTGATAAATCCGTTTCGAAGCTATTTGCGGGTATGTACATGGTTATCATTATTATAAAACTTAGCAAAAACCTCATATACCACCTAAGCAAGTAATTTCAATTACACTGTATCAAATCGATGGCACTTCAATATATTTTTTTTCGGGTAACATATCAATCTAGAGATATCCTTAGTTTGTCTTTTTGATCACTAATTTATAGTTCATACGCAATATATAATGTCTTTGATAACTAATATAAAATGTTTATGGAATCAACCAATTTAGAACTTTATTTATGATTATCTCAGTTCATGGGTTTTATTTTTTCATTGATGTCGAAATTTGTAAATTAAATGTATAATATAAACATAAAAATTTTATGTAAACTTAACGTCTAGTAGTTTTGAAAAGAATGTATGGCGTGACTAAAATTTATGGACGAACCAATCAGGTATAGGATAATAGGTCTCGGATTTTGGTGCGAAATTCACCTATCCATTAGGCTAAATAGAGTTTTGGCATTATAGCTGATGTCAGTTCGTTATGAAAACCATAAATCTAATTCTTAACCCTAACCATCAACTGTAAATCATAATTCTAATTCCTCATACTGGTTTATAACCCTCATTTGGTCCTAGTTATTAAGTGAACACTCTCAAGGTCACTTTAGCGTCGCTCAAATGTCGTCCATAAATTGTAGTCTCACCATATTTTCTTATCAACACTTGTAAGAAGTTGTCTTGATAAGTATAAATTTTGTGATCATTTAGTAATATAAAAGGTCATAATAATACGGTATTTAATAATTCTTTACAATCACAAATTATTTTTTCCCTAGTTCTATAACTCAATAAGACATGAAATACTGAGGTAAGTGGTCGCTTCCACTGGTTATTTGATATTAATTTATCAATTCACTCGATTTAATAATAATATGAATATGTTTACAATTTAATTTCTTATTATAGTTTTCAAATAAGACATAAAGATCAGAGTCCTTTACCAATATCCAACCATTTTAATTCACTAAAGAAATGCAGTCTCTTTCGGTCAGATCTATCCGAAACAATAAATAGTGACAGAGCAGTTAATATAACTTGTATTTCATTAGCTAAAAATGATCCAGAAAAATTTGTTATTGGAACAGAAACAGGAGGACTATTAATATGTCAAATAAATTCTGTTAACTGGAATGAAACATATAGTGAGTATCACATTATTACACTTAACAACATTTACAGAATTCATTTACAATATACTTTTGAACTTGAAGAGTTTATTTATTTCGTACATGTCTGAAGATGTTATTTAATGTTGCGGTTAGAAAAAAAATATTTTTCACGCTGACTAACATTAAGCTAGACAACGAAAAAAAAACAGTCCAAAACTCGAATTATTTCCAAAGCTTCTTTATTGAATGTCTTTCATTAGGTACATGAAACGTTTTTGCTTACAACTACCAAGTATTTTACAGTGGTAACTTGAACCGATGTACCTGTATACCAGGTTCTACGTATTTTGTGACTAACTGAATTTTGGTCGGATGTTTTGATGAGTTGTCATCAAAATTGTCTATGTTGAACGGTATGCATTAAGACTGTTTAGTTTCGTTATTTGAGTTAACATTTTGATAGAGGTATATTTCTGGATATAGTAATTTGCCCTCACAACATTCTAAGTTTTATAAACGACTTAAGCAAATATACAAGAATGAGCCATATTTCTTTCCCTTTTATGACTGGTCTAAATCAACGTCTTGTTGAAAATAACAGTGTTCCATAGTTAGTCACATGATCATGCTCTCACAAATACAACAATTTAATCATTTTATATGATATAATAAGCTAAGGAATAAAATTTCAAATAATTAAAATAAGCTCACGATATATATTAATTGAATTCAACTTTCATTTCAGAAGAATCCTTGGAAGAACACCTACAGTCACCGGTTAAATTTTCACTAGCTCATCAGGATGGTCCGATTTATTCAGTAGATTGGAGTAAATTCTATCCCAATCTTATTATAGCTTGTGGGTTCAATCATTGTATTCAGGTATGAATAAAACAGATAACCAGTTGAAAAATATGGTTAATGTAGAAACTTTTAAATCACCAAAATGTAAATAATAATTCAACATACAATACCATGTTTTGCAAAATGGCATGATAAAATTGGTGTTATTTGCAACTCGGGATATTCATGCTTTTTCGAGTTAATCTGATTATTAATTAAAGTTTTTGTTTAATTATTAGTATTTATGGGGGAGAAGCCTATCATTACATTTTCAGAAAGTTTTAATTTCTGAGATTCAATATTACAACGATTTGCAGTGAATTTTTATACCTTAACACTGAACAACTCAGTTTGAAGCTAACTTTCGATTCTAAAAATATAGTTTCAAGTATGCTGTCCTTAAAGACCAATATCCATTATGCTTTCTTGTTTATGCATTAACATTGATTGACATCAAAACCGGCAACACTGTATCCCTTTAGATTGTAAAACATTTTTTTATCTTGTTTGAAAAATGAATAGAATTCAGTCGTCAAGTCTGTTTTATATGATAAGTACTAGGAAGTGGTATACCACATATCTCATTTTTTATTTTATTCAATTAAAAAGTTCTGTTTTTTTACTATTCCTTAATTCCATTTCATTTGCTACAGATAAATAAATCCAACAACCTAATTTGTATGAAACCTGCTTCCGAATTAAGCAAACGTTAATTTGTTTCGTACACATAGTTCCCTTTATAATTTTAAAGAGAGTAAGAACCTTCCCTCTCAAACTTTATATATTGGAAACAAAAAAATTTTATAACTTCATTAACTCTAACGAAATCTTTGCCACATTATGTTACATATATTCATCCTTCATCGCCCTCTGTTGTATAAGTATGTCAATATCTATAATAACGTTGAATTTCAAATATTTTAGGTTGAAAGCAGCTGATGAGAACCTAACGAAATAAAATGAATTCATATTACTCTGCACCAATCTTTGTTCTTACTCTCGTTAATTTGTTTGTTAGATAGCTACAGGTAGTCGAGAAAAAAGCTGGGAAAAAAGTTACATGCCAATAGCCACTTATCATCAACATATACCTGGAATTTTGAAGGAACTAATAATTTCTGTGATATTTTGATCTGTATCATTCAGCTTCGCTTGCTGAAACCCCTGAGTTATTCAGTCTTTGACTGACCTGTAGGGATGATATATCTACAAGTGACCAGTCCCGTAGAAAAGACTGGATTCTATCGATTAGCAGTATATATATATATATATATATATATATATATATATATATATATATATATATCATTCCTACAGGTCAGTCAAAGACTGAATAACTCAAGGGATTTTGTGGAGATTGTAGTACTTTCATTAGTTGAGATCATGAGTCAATTGAAGCTAAACCAAATATTGAAATTACCTCAATCTCCACAAAGCCCCTCCTGATACTAATCGATATATGCTCACTAATGACTGACTTCAAGAGGTATATCCCGGAGTTCTGGTAAGAAGCAGTGACCAGTGGAGTTCAACCGGGTCTGTTGTGAGATAGTAACTCACTGATGACAGTGGTGGACGTGTCGATCAATTTCGTGGATTAGTTGAAGTTAGATATTAACATCGCTGGATGCCGGCTCAGTGGTCTAGTGGCTAAGCGCTTGTGCGCGAGACTGATAGTTCCTGGGTTTGAATCCCGCGAGGTGGGATCGTGGATGCACATTGCTGAGGAATCCCACAGTGGGACGAAACGGCCGTCCAGTGCTTCCAGGTTTTCCATGGTGGTCTAGCATTAATTGACTCATGATCTCAACTATATATATATATATATTACTTTCGTTACCATTAACTGATCATTCAATCAAAAATTCGGTTATAACTGAGCTAAACTAGTTGATTTTGAAATAAATTAAGTTCCATTGCAATAGTTACTGTTTGACTGAGATGTTTAAAATCAGAATAAATAATGAATCCCACTTGTTCGATCCCTATGACCAAGCTTTACATTTTTTAAGTAACATGTAACTAAAATTGTAAAGATAAATCAATCATCCCATTATCTCAGTCAAAATATGACTTAAGAAATGATTCAAAGTATATACTCACGTAATAATACTAATGTCCCAGTTTTTAACTTTGTTTTATATATACATTAAAAACAATATATCATTATGAAAAATGAAGTCTTTCCCTTTATAGTTTATTAAATAATTGAAATTTGTTAAAGCAAGTCATTATTATTAGGGGATTTTAAAATGTTGAATTCTTGCATTTTATATGTTTAATTTTAGCTTTTCAATGTATTACAAAAATCTCCATTAATAAGTTTAGATCCAAATTATGGTTCAATACTTGTTGTTGAATTTTCGTCATATTTATCAAATATTTTTATCTGTATAACCGAATATCATCATATACTTATTTATGATTTAACTGGTGATGAAGAAATTAATCCAATGTACAATTGTTTTAATGAAGAGAAACTGTATAGTCTTCAACCTGAACTACTGTATACATTGACATCTCAAATTGATAATGATATTCAAAGTACAATTGTATCTGCGAAACTTAATGAAAAAGAGTAAGTCACATTTTCAATGTTTTTTTAAAACAAACATTTATTTCATCTTTATTTTAGTTCTAAACTTGTTGCTACTGGAAATACAAGTGGGATTGTTTATGTATGGGATTTTAGTAATCTAATCAATGAATTATCATTAAAAGTAATAAATACATGATAATTATACATATTTCCTAGTTCTATAATTAAGTGATTTATTCACTTATTCAGTGTTTTAATTTACAGCTTGTGAACTGGATTACTTCATCCCTTTATTCATTGTATACTTTTAGAAATGGGGTGTACGTTTTATCATGTATTTTTTAACTGATAACATAATGTAGCTCATTTTAAAAGTACATGTTAAGGCACTAGTATCTCAGATATACCTTTTACATGACACTCGTTAATACTTTTAGGCTGTCAGACCCGAAGTTGATGGAGCGTCGTTCACTAAGCAAATCACTTTTCACGTTCGTTAGATTAACAATGCTAGTAGTGAAATTGAGATTTATGCTGGACAGTAAACTAGAAATAGGTTCACCACATGCCCCGATCCTATTTTCATTTTCAGAGGAACTACTATTGTAGTGAACGAGAACACAAGTGGGACAGTCGCATGTATTTGTATACAAAATTACTGAATACCGTAGTAAAATCTGAAAAACACATAATAAATACTTCGTTTGTAAAATCTCAATAAATCGTCTCAAACTTGATTGTTCCTTCGTTTCCACACCAACCATTCTCTGTTCTCATTCTCTTTTCTTCGATCTTCTTAACCTTCTGACACCAGGCATTTCACTTTCGATTGACGACACATACTAATTATATCTGTCGATATCAGTAGCACACAATCATTAAGGCACAGTTGGTTCATGTTAATTACTTTCATTGTGAAACGGATAGGCCCAACTTTGTCTAAAACAGTTAAGAATTAAGACTTTATTACATGTCACAAATCAACACTGTTTGTTAATTTATCTTCAAATAGTATGTTTATATTTTCAATAATTAGACAATGTGATTAATTTTTCAGTGGCAAACCGAGTTAATGTTGTGTTTCTTCATTTGATTATCATATTAATGTATCAATCAGAATGTTATGTAGAAAGCAATTCTAACCATCCGTCTATTCGATTACTTTCATAAAACTGTGGTTTGGACTGCATATTCATACCCACCAATCCCAGTTGATGAAACATTTTTCACAACTCCCTACGGTTTCTTTAACGCTTCTATGCAAAAATATTTGTAGTTTCAGAAACAACATCATTGTCTATACGAATATTCGTCAAGATTAGAACGAATAGTTTGACAGTAATTGAGCGCCGATTATAGAGAAGTCATTATATGTGAAAATTATATTTGAAATATTCTCAGCGGTTGAAATTTAACTAATTCCAACGTTTCATCCAGCTAACTTATCTGGACTTCTTCAAAATCATCAAAGAAATATATAACTTTTTAACAATCAGGATTATACTGTGTTAAACCAATCATATTTAGATGTTGATTTTTTGTAAAATAGGATAAAATGAGTCAGTTAACTACAAATCATGTGAAGAAATCAACTACATGGAAATATTTAACTGAGTAAGAAATCGTATGTGTGTGAGCGTGTAGGTATGTACGTATGTGTGAGAGATTGATATGAAGGAATAAATAAAGTTCAAGGATGAAAAATTGATAATGAATCATCGATGTCAAAACATAAATTGTATTATAAGCAAAGATGGATAGTGGCTAGCAGTGGAATCCAGGACGCGCGTTTCGTTCTGTCTGGGACTCGTCAGCTGGATGTACCCGGATCTCAGAGTTGATGTTCACTCTGGGACTCGAACTCAGTACCGTCCGCTTCAAACGCCATCGCGTTATCCACTTAGCTACTGGGTCCTGATAGCCACTTACTTGTGCAATGGGGTGAAGTTTAATTCACTTGATATTGTTTTACTTGAATCTTCCCATTGATGCTAGCCACTATCCATCTTTGCTTATGATGCTTGTAAATTAAGGCAATATCGAGGCATACGCACAGTATGCACATATGCCAATAAGAGACTGATCAATTTCAGTCCTAAAACATCAATGGGAAGATTCAAGTAAAACAATATCAAGTGAAATAAATTGTATTGTTTAAAAACTCATTGAGTTCATTCAAAATAATAACGATGCATGTGATATAAAAAACAGGTTTAAACAAGAGATAAGTTCCAAATTTACTTGTCAAACGAAATTTGCCAGGTAGTTGCCAGTTGAATACCATCTTTACGGTTCAGGCTGTTCCTGTTAGTCCATATATGCAGCGCTTCTGCTGTCGATCTTTCTTTATGGGTATTAAAACCTTTCTGAAGTATTTTGGTCCCTTCAAAATTATTCCTGTGTCCTGTTTCTAACGCATGTAACGCTATCGCTGACTTATTTTCAAGTTTCTTTAAATCTACCGAGGATTTTGGAACATTTTGCAAGCATTGTTTGTGTTCCTTCAATGTTACATTCAACTGCCTGGATGTTTCTCCAACATAGGTAGTATTACAGTCATGACAGTGAATCTCATACACAATGTTCTGTTGTTCTTCCTTTGCTAACTTGTCCTTAACTTTCACTAATGTCGATCTTAATGTGTTATTCGCTCTAAAATACACTATTATATCATGTTTGTTTAGAACCCGTTTGATTTCTTCTGATGTTTCACTACGGTGTACTTCCATTCTTTTCTTATACTTTCTAATTCAGTTTTTCTCTCATTTTTAATAATCTTCTTTAAAAACCTTTTTGGGAAGTTGTTATCCCTAAGAGTAGAAAATACTTTATTTAATTCGGTTCGTTGGTCTTCCTTGTCTGTAACAATCTTAGTACTTCTGTTCATTAGATTTTTTGCCACACTAATTTTCGTGCTCTTTGAATGGGCTGAATTAAAATCCAAGTATCTCTCGGAATGTGTTGATTTTCTGTAAACATTTATTTTTAACTTATTATTGTGTCGACGTTCAACCAAACAATCTAGAAATGCTAGTTTGTGGTCAACTGATTCTAATTCTTTAGTTAGTTTAATGTTTTCAGAAATGCTGTTTACATTGTTAAATAGTTCTTCCAGACCATCCCGTTTATTGATAATAAAAATATCGTCTACATACCTTAACCATAACTTTGGTGGACATACACCTTTTCCGATTGCACTAGTTTTTAGGGAATGCATGAATAAATTCGCTACAATCGGAGGAACTGGTGAGCACATTGCTATACCCTCTTTCTGTCCGTAAATTTGACCTCGAAATATGAATATGGTAGACCTTAAACATAATTCTAAGCATTTTATAATCTCCGACGGATCTAATGGGCATCATAAATTCAGATCTAAATCAGATTCTAAACAATCATTGATAATATCCATAGCTCGACTGATAGGTACATTAGTGAATAAGGAAGATACATCAAAACTTGCCATTATTTCGTCTTCTTCTATATCGATGGTATCGATTAAATTCTTGAATTCCATATAGTTGTCTGCTATTAATTGTTAGTGAATAATATCTGAATCACAACAAGTTACAGGTTTTTTCAAGAGCGAACAAATGAGGATGCGATAAACTACATTTACTCATATTTCAAACAATGATATTACACTTGTAGGTACCATCTGTGTCTACGATTTCTATTGGACAGTAAGCTACTTCCTTCTAGTCTCGTATTGAGAATGAATGGCTCTTTAGTTGACTGTCTGCAGCAACCAATATCTGTATTTCATCTGTGAGCTCGGCGTTATGTACTATAAATATCTGAACACTACCTATTACATGAAGTTGAGGATGATAAAGACACCTGTAGGTTTTGATTATTTAGACACACAGCGGTACATAATACAAACATTCTGTGTGATTTTGACTTTTCCATAAGTTTCGTGCACATAGTTGGATACGACAAGTAATGCAGCTCCAGATACGCATAGTATTAGTACTCTTTCTTTGTTCTAAAATTGAACACTAAACGTCTGTTTGTAAAACTTAAGGTGATCCGCTCAGCAGAAATATATCAAAGTGAGCAATCGATCCCAGTCTTAAATACTAAGTAATCTCATACTTGTTAAATAAGTTAGCCACTTTAGAGAATCAGTAACAACAGACAATCATCAACAATAATGGAAGCCTAAGATTAGGAGTAGAAGGAGATAGTTTAATCCACTACACCCCATTTGAATGAGTTGAACATGAAAACTTGACAGTTAGCGCAACGAAACGAATTGGCAATGGAACGAAAATAATAATTAATGAAGTTGTTAGGTTTCTAGGGACTGTATTTGTAAATAGAGATTACAGAATGTAAGAGATTATTTCGATTTAAATCCATTACCGTCAACTAAATATTCAAGACCTTTGAATCAAATATACAAAATGAACACTATTTTGCATTTACAGTTTAGTGGTAAGTGAAAAACAGTTTTTAAAGTCTTCGATACTGACATTGAACTTGTGGGTGATAGTGTAACGTCATGTGCTGTGTTAAACCCACATAGATTATTCTAGCCTCCGGACAAGCCAATCTATTCATTCTTCTTAAATCACATCTTGACCTTATCACTTATTTGCTCATTTATTCTGGTTGTCTCTAGCAGAGCGTATGTGTTTGAACATCTTATCCTACTCATCACATGTCTGTAGCTTAGTTTTATCTGGATATAAATACTGATTAACGCTTGATTAAATCGAGTTAGTTCACATGCCTCCTCCAATCTGCTTCTCTCTTCCTTCTTTATTTTGTCTCCCTGATTGCATGTTCAAATCACTGAGTGCAAGAAATATACATATTCAAAATCTATCCTCGTGTGTGACTTATTTAACTCTGTTATTCACTAACACGAGTTAAGTTGATAATTATGTACGAGGATATTCGATATGTGTATTTCGACGACAATCATACACACAATACAAATGGAGTCAGATATAAAGAGCCGCCAAACCTTTATCTGTTCTACTTGACGTTTCTTTAGGTGAATGCACCAAGTCAAGCATCCGTGCCAGATCATGTTTCAGTGTCCCGTAATACTCGTCTCTTGCGACAACTAGTCATCTAGTCAACGAATACTTTCGTTCAAGCTGTCTTACGATATACTACACACGGCTTTGTACGTCGAGACTTACATCGACGACCTCTCGAGTCAGCGTACAGTTCTTCAGAAGTGGCCACATAAATCACAAGTCTATCATGTTGTCGATTTCGTTTTCGGCCAACCGTACCTTTGCGGAGCTAGTCGGCGCACTTTCGAAAATGCTGGTGGTCCATTATTTGCAATGTGGTGTGCAATGTTGCCAATTACACACGGTAATTTCGGTCGCGTTTGGTGCGTTTTGAGGTAATTATCTAGTATGAGTTGATAGAATGGGTCGATTATGTGCCTTACCGTGACTGGGGATAATCTACACGAACGGACAACTGAGTATTGCCATCCACCAACCCCTGTTGCACATGTCGATGAGTAGATTATGGTGTTTTAGCAGGTCTGTATCAGTGACTGACATAGGATCAAGTTTGCGTGAACCTACGTTAAAATAAACATAGTGCTTAATATATGTGGTAATCCGTTATCCGTTTGCCGCCTGTAAGTTAAAGACTAGCTCAAGCAGACATTCATTACAATTTGTATGAAGAACGCTTACTTATGAGCCAGTGTCGAAAGATAGTAAACGTTCATCATCACACCAGTAACTTGCAACGGAAGGCTATGTTTGCCGGATACGGTTGCCGTTAACGCGGCTCGGTGGGGACGTTTCCCGGAGTGTTTTCCATGCAAGACAGTTTAGAGCTTGAGAAACTGAAGTGATTTCTGAAATTTCTGGATTACTCACCATATGTATTGTGGTGTCAGCACTAACCAGGATTCTCTCACGGTCCAGTGACAGATCCTTTCTGTGGCGAGCTCCTTCGATGAGTTTTGAAGCATGTATGATCATGGTATATATTAAGATAACGAGTGAGAGTTTAATGGAAGTCTTCAACGTCATTCTGTGTTGTTTGGAGACTTTTGTTGACAGAATAAACCTCGAAGTCTAGGGTTCTGGTAATCTCCAGGATCCGTTCTGAGGATGCGGTCATTTCGTCTACAGAGTTACTTTGAGATAAGACAAGAACTGCCTGCATCCGTTGGAAAATCTTCGGCAAGAATAGCTGTCCGTTGACTAATGACCTCTCACATTCGTAGCAACACTCCTGTTGCTGGGCCATGTTACAACATGATGTTGTGGAAAAGTTGACACAACCATTTTTGGTCAGTTAAAATAAGATGCACAAGTAGGCGGAAAATATCCCAAAACATCAAAACAATATCACACTATGCAAAAATAAAAATAAAAATGAGGTATATCGTTATGTACAGAAGCATTTTGTCCAAGCTGGCCAGCACTTACAACGGATGCGTAGCATGACGTACACACTCGTAATGTAACTTTGACGCTTGACCGAGCGCCTCAGTTGGGTGCGTCCATTGAAACTAATGAGGTCAGCATCACTGTCGAAGACTCACAGAACTATTTATTTTGGACGTCCATTTAACGCTATAAGAATCATTAATAAGTAACACTTCGGAGGATATTCAATCTGAACAAGACACGAAAGTGAGCATACATTGTCTTTTACAAACAGTATTGAGGCTTTAGCAGGTATGCTTTGGAGTTCCATCCCGGGAGTTTAAGTTACGGCACCCATGATAAATCTTACGACATAGCGTTCGAGAAGATCTGTGGTGTCACGTACACAAGAGGATTTCATCTCGTGTTGCTTGTTGTTCACTTCCATCATCCTCTAATTTGTTTTGCTCCTCATTTTTTATAGGGACTATGGCAACAATCATATCCTCTCATAACCAACATTCACACATTTATCAAGCGGACACAGATCCCTGAGAACGAACAGGTCAGTGATTCCGCCAAAAAGCCTGATTATCGGCTCCTTGAGAAGGTTGTGATGACACGTTCTGGTGATTTCGCCAACAGAGGGTCGATAACTACTACACGCTTAACGACAGGGCGAAATAATACTTTGAAGATTTTTACTTAGTTATTAGCATTATTATTTCGTTAATTCATATTATTTAAGAGTCAGGGTATTAAATAATCCATTACAAGCTTGAGAAATATCTCTGACAGTTTACGGCATACGTTTCGCCATTTATGTTCAATAGAGTTTGTATAGTCGTTTGAATATAAGCGGGCACTTACATTTCTCATTTCTTCGTATGATACCCCGGCGAGTACAGGTGTTGTCGCTTTTTCGCACAGGTTAGATACACCCATCATACGGTACACCTTTAGAACCATTTTGTTAAGAAGTGATTGTTCCATAGCACGCTTTTCATAACGTTGCCGGCTGTGTTACAGTCGTTAAAATGTTTATGAACTGCTTAGTTTAGTCACTCAGTTCTCGTCTTATAGCTGGGAACACGCCTAACCTCACATAGATTACAGTAATGCTTTAGATGACTATCTTGCTAGCAGTTACTTTAGAAGGAACTCTATCATTATTCTTATCAGTCATCCTGGCCTACAAATACAGTACTTCAGGATGCAGTGCTAGAGAGCTCACACGAAGATCTGCGGAAACTTCCTTGCCGTCGGAGTATGTAAGTCAGAAATCATGTTAATGAGGCTATTGTTATTAGACCTCTCTATGAGTTTTCGGGAACGACATTTACTTCAGTCATGTCGGTGCTGGTAAAAACTAAATAAGGTGTTCCCATTCAATTACTCACCTCATTACCAATTCATATGCTTTACCTTTAAGTCTGAAAGAAATAAGGCAAGAGTCACACTGCGTAACCAGGAACATTATCTGACTATCAAGACCTTAGGGTAGTGGCTATGCGCTAGTTCAACCTGATGGTGTTGAGAGGCATACGGTATCACAATATTCTATTGTAATGGCATAACAATAACTGCCGACATTGTGCTCTAGAAAAAATATCCCAGCTCACGACTTAGTGCAATACATGAATCTATTATTTCCACACAGGCGTGTGATAGTTATAATTCACTCAGTGCGATCAATCTATTCTCTGAACTATGAGTTGATAAAGAGTTATCACGGTCATCGATTTGGTGCGCCAGAGGCGTAAAACACTTAGACTTACATTTTCATAAATACGAAGTTTGCGTGCTCCAATGGTAATATCCCTCTCACCGGGGAAATACAACTAATACCTTGACGTAGTGATGGAGCATGGCCAAAAATACCTCTTTCTTTAGTTCTTGCTTTAAACGCTAGGTCAGTTGGGAAACAGTGAAGCAGAGGCATCATGGTCTGAGGGCGACCGTTCATTCAGGGATAAATGGCATTAGGGTTTTTCCCTTGGAAAACTCGCATCTCCATGGTTGCTAGCTTCCCACAACGGGAGGAAGAGGAGATCGGAAAAGGTTAATCACATGGATTCTTGTAGACAGTAAGGTTTGAAAATTACTGACCCAACACACCAAAATCTACACCATAAAAATCCATATGTGGCCGGCTGTAAGCAGATATTCCTTGGACTTTGTGTTCGCGTTGGAAAGTCATAAAGACTATCTCTAACCCATTTTCACCTTTCGATTTTTTAAGCATTCTTTAGGTTTGTGGGTAATGAGGAAGAGATAATTCCTCGCGTATTTCTAACATTTCTGGACATCAATCATCTTCACTCCATCACTTGCCGCTTATTAAATCTTTTATTCCGTTTTCAACCTTACTGATTTATTGTAAAACTGTGTTGCCTTTCTTTTGGCCTTGTGTTAGACTACATCATATATCTTGCTGAAACCCGTGAGTTTTGCGTATACAGACGTCTATCTACATACCTACCTTAGAAGATGCATTAACCCTAGTGGTCTGATGACTTGCTTGTTCAATTTTCGCTAATTTACTCTACTTGTGACTCCAAATATGTTGTTTTGTCATTCAAACTGGGTACACTGGATAGAGTCTTTCTATCTAACATCGGTAATCAGGAATTTTTATCCTTCAATATATATTGGATCAGATTTGTTCACTTTATCTGTCTCATATGGTTAGGTATAGCACCATTTTATACCTTTCATTCCTTGATTTTTTAAGTATTATTTTGTTTCGGTACCAATACTTTTATTGTTTTACTTTCCACCGATTTTATTTTGCTCTTTGGTAAATAGTGACATTTGTTCTGTTTTGTTCTTACCACTCATCAACAGCCTTGAAGCTTAATAGACTTGGAACTAAATTCCTTCATATTCCTCTTGATGTCCCCTTTCTTTTTCACTTGCTATTTTCATAACCTCAAAATCATTTATCGGTTGCTTAAACATAAGGAACGTTCCTGTTCTTAGAAATCTTTCACATATAGTCGCCTTCGAAGCTTACACTATGGCGACCTTTACGGGTAATAAATAGCCACGGATGAATTTTGAGTTCCTGAAATGCATATGCTTGGTTTAATAATAACCATCATTTTGTCTTCTTACTGTGTGAGAATCACAACATTGCCTTTTCTCCTAGTTTTTATAACTCTGATACTAACTTAACTCCTTTCGTATTTGTACTGGGGTAGATATATTTCAGGATTCTTGAACCCTGTCCTATCTATTTCGGTTTGGGTAACTGAGTACCATTGCCGGTCCTCATAGGAAGTGTGGCTCTAAGCCTATTACGCAAACATATGCATCGTTTTTATACTAGATGTAGAACATGTCGACCCCCCCAAATGCCCTGGTGCGGCTGAGGGTGGGAAGAGTTAGTTCTCCCTCTCGAAATGCTCTCACTTGGCCACGCGTATACAGCCACTGCCAGGAAAGTCCTACTCGTGATGGGGGGGGGTTGTTTACAAAATTGAGAAGACGAAATACGGATGTCTGGTGCTGTAATCGAGTTGGTGGATATGGAGGATCCGCCTAGGGGAATCGGATAACCCTGATTACAAACCAGTGGTGCACACGGGCTCCAGTATCCCAAGGGAACAAATGGCGTATGAACTAACTATTGGTTATCGGCTAACATGGAACTACATTTCCTGACGTTGCTCCACTACCTTGTGGATCAGACCTTTAGGTCGAAGGCTCTGGGCGTGGCCTCCTAAGGGAACCACCTGCTTCGGTCTGGGGACCCGGTCAGTATCACAGCCCACACAAATTAACTGACTTGTGTGGCACATATGTGTTCGGTGCGCCTTTGTACCAATATTTATGTGTTCAAATGAATAATAAATCATAGACCATGAATACGTTTACGGTTGTTCGAATTCGTCACAACCGTATTCATTTAGTTACTGGTCTGTGTTCAACAGTGGCTGGTAAATCACTTTACTAAGATTTTTGCTTCTAAACTTATTATCATTTGTTTTCATAAGGTAGTAAATATTCCCTTAGACTCGATTGCTAGTCTGCTTTAGCTGATAAGCCTTCCTTTTAATTCTCTTGTTGAGTTTTCGTTCTGCTAGTGTAAGATTATGACAATTTGAATCGGCACACATTCGTGCTAGTTCTTACATTGTCTGACAATGGATCCTAAGGCTAATCAAATGTGTAGGTTGACATTGATTATTTGTTACTTATCTACTACTACTTTTATCCGAACTTCGATAGAGATAAGATGGTGGTTGAAGGTAGTCGACAGGAAATCCTGGACCCAGGTTTCGTGCTACTTGGCACTCGTCAGCAAGGTATACCTGTAATCTTGAGAGAACTGGTGCTCCCGGACTGATTCGACCCTGTGTCACCCAGCTTCACAGTCAGAGACGTTACCACTGGGTTATTCGGGCCGCGACCGACCTCCTGTAGGACTGAAATGTATTCACAATTGATCAATCAATCTGGAAGTACTGGACGGCCGTTTCGTCCTAGTATGGGACTCCTCAGCAGTGCGCATCCACGATCCTGCTCGCGAGTTTCCAACCCACGACTTTGAGTCTCGCGCGTGAGACCTACAAACCAGTGAGCCGGCATCCAACAGTGTTAATGTCTAACTTCAATCAATCCACGAAATCGCGCAACCATCTTCCATTGTCTGAGGTAGATACCTGTCTCTACCTGACAGCCCCACTGGTCACATCCTCCTAAAACTCCGAGAATTCCCTCACGAAGCCAGTCTCTAGTGCGCACCTGTTGGTTGTCCGTATGGTGTTGTGAAAATTGTTAAGTTAACACGTCAGGTAGGGGCAGGTATCTATCTCAGATAATGGAAGATGGTTGCGCAATTTCGTGGATTGATTGAAGTTAGACAATAACACTGCTGGATGCCGGTTCACTGGCCTATAGATCTCGCGCGCGAGACTCAAGGTCTTGTGTTCGAAACTCGCGAGCAGGATCGTGGGTGCGCACTGCTGAGGAGTCCCATACTAGGACGAAACGGCCGTTCAGTACCTACAGGTTTTCAGTGGTCTGACATAAATCGATTCATGATTTCAGTCAAAAACTATTACTCTCCTCAATCCCATACTGATAAATAAGACGAATTAGTTCGCATTCAGATTTAGAGATAGATCCCTAAGCTTTGTAGCCCGTTTTCTTGGGCAAAGAAGCCAATTATATCAGGCTGTTATAGAAAGCTGACTCATAAAGTGATGGTTTTACTTATCTAAATAATTCCCATAAAATCTGTCACAGTTGGACACCAGAAGTAATATGTGCCATACAGCTAGAGAAATTATATTGTGAAGAAACAAATAAAGGAGGCAGTGCAACCAAGAAAAAAGAACAAGTAAACGGGAAAATTATATGGTAGAGGTTACAGTCCGGTTAAATGTACGATCATCAGAGAAGTTCATATCACTGGCGACGTTTGTTTGACCAGCTGAGTGACAATGATTTCAACTGTGCTTGGCTAAATCCACAAACTTTTTCGGTGTTGTTAAGTTTCATTTAAAAATAATTTCCTCTGTACTACCAATATATTATAAATTTATTTACTTTTCAGGTCATTTTTTTTATTCGGTGTTGCAATGCAATGCCCAATGATAAGCCAGAATTGTATACTTGTATTGCACTGTTCATATTGCTCATTCAATACACTTCTTTTATCAAATCTCATCAATCACTTCAAGACTGCCCACTCAAGTGCAAACTGTTTGTTTAGTTTGTATCAGTGTCGTCATTGTCAATTAATATCAACATCTTGTCCCGTTCTTACGGAACATTCTTTAATCAATCATATAGAAAAGGAGGTGAGTTTGTTTATTTAAATGAACTAACATTCTTGTATATAATTATAGGTGTCTATTCAGTGTATATATCAGAATCATTCAGGAAATCCAATCTTTACTGGGGAAGCAATGTACGAATGCTTGCTTTGTTCATTCAAAGCTAAAGAAGTTAAAATTTAACCTTACATTATTTCGCTTTTCATGGTATCAAAAATGCCAGTCCAAATTTGACCAAGCATTTAACTTACGATTATTCATCAGGTTCTTAGTATTATTTGTTTTTTCTTACTTCAATTAATTACTTCGATCAATTAGGATTAAATTACAATTTCCATGATGCAAAATCGTTGTTTATGGGTGATAAACGAAATGCATTTGTCGATCTTAATCAAGATGATGGCGAAATGAGTTCTCATTCAGTAAGTTTTTTCATTTAATGTTGGTTGAATACGTGTTCATTTTTGTTTATCTAGGTTGGAACAGAAAGTGGTCGATTTTCCAGGGGATCTCATCTTAGTTGTAATCATTAGATTTTTTGCTATTTAATTATTTTTACTCTTTAAGCATCCCAAGTCAACCGAAGTTTAATGCCATATAAATGTACACACTGCGGCAACGCTTATCACAAACGAAAGTATTTTGCTGAACATGTTTTCTCCTGTTCCAAATCTTTGCAATTAACTTGCCCATGTGGCCGTGTTTGTAAATGGCGATCGAATTTCTATGCACATAGGTTAGTATTCCATGTAATTTAGTGTGTCTTCGTAGTGAAAGTATTTTCCATTTCATTGTCCAAATAAAAAATGTGTTTGTGTGACCAAGTATTGTTATAGGTTTTAACTGAATAAGTTAATTTAAGGAGTAGTTGGACAGGCTGTTTGTTTCATTCTTAAGCCTTTTGGAATCAAGGTGTTTGTTGTTTCTCATTATTATCAGAATAGCTTTCTCCATAGAAGTTTTGGTGAAACGAACGTTTGTTACATCATTGATATACGTAAAACATTTAGAAATAGCGTATATCTTGTAAACATTTTATGAATTCCACCTGCAGTTTGTGCATCGCCAAATTTCAATAAAACCGTCAAGTTTTTTATTAATCAACTCTTTTAACTGAAAGCAGCAATATGACCACCCTTCCGTGTCTTTAATAGTTTGTATATAATGGTGACTTTTATATAACTATCATATATATTTCTTCCTGAGATAAGGTTAGTGATGAGTACCGGTTCGGTTGCTAACAGAAATAATATTTTGTGAATGACAAATTGCGTAAACTCCTCATATTCAATCTGCCTTCTAGTTCATTATTTAAATACTGAGTTTGGCTTCGGACTTAATTTTTTGCTCACAATGTCCAAAATGTTGTGCCGAATTTTTATAAATTACTTAAGAATCTGACATACTAAGCCATCGACGAAGGGACCCAATTAGACAAGTTAAACTAGGGGGGCACTTAAGTTCTATTTTAAACATATTGGACTTGAATTTCTAATACTGAGTTTATTACTTGTAAGTTTTCTTATTAATGTGAATTCGTGGTAAGTTTCAGATTTTAACGACAAAATTATGTACATTTGCATTACTTTTAAAAGCACCTTAATGTTGTAAAAATAATTACAGCGACGATCACACGAGAATTCGGTGACCTCAGTCAGCTATATAGTGTGTATCAGTGGCCGAGTTGTTAAGTCAATTGATTCAAGACCGCTGTATTCCTCTTTCAGATCCTGTTCCACCTACTTCAATGTGGTCGGCTGGACAGTATAATTAGCCCTTTCACTAAGTCTTAATCAAATCCAAATATCTACACTTGTACTTAGCGGTGGGTGTAAAATGAGTGACTTACACCCGTAATTTTCGCTTTCTGTATCTTACGGTTTTGATTAGTTTATCCCACCAACCTATTAATATTTGTTGCATCAGTCATAATCATTTAGGTCGTTTAACAATAGATATTTTTCAGTCACTTATAATCAAGATGGAGCTTGAAGCAAATGTCAGCCCGTTACCAAGCTGCGTCAATACAGGGAGATTACTCAAACAAGATAAATAACAAAAAATTCGAAATAATCGTAGTATCAGTGATATTGAAAGACCACATATTACAGAATAAACCAGTTATATCCAACGTATAACCTGATGCATGTTCATCGGCTTCAGTTGTCACATCCAACTAGTACATCGAGATGAAATTGTCAAGGTAAATCCTAGAGTAGTAACAATATTAAAGTAATAAAAGAGACTAGGCATAGATAATACGGTTCAAGAAGAAAATATGGATGAGTGGAATAAGAAGGAAAGAGGGGATCCTTTTGCAAGGTAATTTAGAAACTTAAGATCTAAAAGAAGGCAAATACAACGCACCTGGTCCACTTGTAATTTTGAGCTATATCACCTGAAGCATCTAACCATTAGTTGCAATAACTGCGTCGAACCCAACCAAACGGTCTACACCTATCTACATGGTTCAGTCAAACAGTCAATATCTTCATGGACTAATGCCACCTGCTTGTTTGCCCTTCTCTAGCTCTCAGCCTAATTTTATGCCGGGTAGCATTGTTTATCAAGCTAGGCAGTGACTTGAGAAAGCTGCTTCAAAGACACCTATAGTCTAATACTAGTAGCTTTCAATTTGGTCTACCATCCCACACTACGTTTCACGGCATTGCGATGGCACGTGTTGGGTTGCTGTATAGCATATTTACCCATCCGTTGAAAAATAAACATCTCGTCTATGCCACAAGCTAGACCATTCGGTAAAAGCTAAGGGTTTTTTATGAACACGTGCCAACAGCCCCTCGAAGCTGGCGGGGTCTACGAAAATAGATAAACTAATCAACACACCTAACTACCATCATCGCTTATGATCGGCCTGACACAGACCAATCCTAAAGCAACATTCTGCATTAAGAGGTAGATAAGCGCTTTTGCGCTCTTCAATATGTTTAGAAGACTATATCCAAACTAAATAAGACTCATCCGTATATTTTGAATAAGTAAGTCTCCTGTTAAAAGTTATCTAAATAGTTATTTCTGAAATATTGTCTATTTTGAAGTTAACTGAAAACGGAAGACGTTAATTATGACTAACACCAGTTTCAGTTCTTAATTCTGTCGCAAGTTCACCGATTCGACTTTATATGTTTTTACATATTTAAACCCAATTATGTATTTCGAAGCGGTGTTTCAAAGAGCGTGTGATAACGTTTGTGTGATCGAAATGTCGAAACTGGTGTTACTTGTGGGAGAAGTCGAAGAAAAAGGAAAAACTAAACAAGTGCTTCAATTGTTGACACATTTACCTCGAATATTTCTTAAAGATATGAGGGAATCTGTTACTTCTTCGTTGCCCACAAACCTAAAGAATGCTTAAAAAATCGAAAGGTGAAAATGGGTTAGAGATAGTCTTTATGACTTTCCAACGCGAACACAAAGTCCAAGGAATATCTGCTTACAGCCGACCACATATGGATTTTTATGGTGTAGATTTTGGTGTGTTGGGTCAGTAATTTTCAAACCTTACTGTCTACAAGAATCCATGTGATTAACCTTTTCCGATCTCCTCTTCCTCCCGTTGTGGGAAGCTAGCAACCATGGAGATGCGAGTTTTCCAAGGGAAAAACCCTAATGCCATTTATCCCTGAATGAACGGTCGCCCTCAGACCATGATGCCTCTGCTTCACTGTTTCCCAACTGACCTAGCGTTTAAAGCAAGAACTAAAGAAAGAGGTATTTTTGGCCATGCTCCATCACTACGTCAAGGTATTAGTTGTATTTCCCCGGTGAGAGGGATATTACCATTGGAGCACGCAAACTTCGTATTTATGAAAATGTAAGTCTAAGTGTTTTACGCCTCTGGTGCACCAAATTTTCGATAGCATCATAGTTTAAATGAAAATAAGAAGCTATCTGCATATTGTCTAAATAAAATTTCATGATGCTCTTTTTTTTGTTAATAACGCATCCTTTTTTTAATTTCAGAAAATCATGCGCCGTTTATAAACAACTTGTAACTGGAGGCAGTCATCTCTCTGTCTTTCGTCGTCGAGGTTTGACTTTGTCTAAATCAAGCAATAATGATGATTCTGAAAGTATTACTAAAGAATCAGTTAGTTCTAGCGAACATCTGCTTGATATGTCAACTAATCCCAAAGATGCTTCTACTGTAAATCTAATTGGTGGAAATGATTTAACTTCCTTAGTTTCTTCATCTTCTACACCCGAAGTTACTCCCCAGTCTAATGCAGATTCTAGCATTGATGTATTTGGAAATCATTCTGATTCCCTTCAAACCTCTCTCACCTACATAACTCCAGTTTCATCTCTAGCCACATCTCTCCCGACTTTCGTTTCTAATGAAAATATTGAAACAAATAATCTAAATCATGTATCTAGTAATTCGATGGTCACATCTGCCTCTATAATTCATGCATTAAGTCAAACTTCTAATTTGTCCGTATTAGTTGACACACGTTGCCCCGTCAGTAATTATCCTTCAAATCAGATAAATGAATGCACCGCCACTAATACGGAAGGTGGATTTATCCAATGTGTATCATCAAAAGGTGAACCACTTATCATGTTTCCTGGTATGTAATTTGAAAAACTTAAATGCATAATTTTACTCTCCGGTCAACTATATATATATATGCATGCCGCAACACTCATTTGAAAATTCCAAGAAATTAAACAGCTTTAAAACTACTTTCACAGTATATCTTTCTGTCTTATACATAAGAACGAATTAATTTATTTTCCTATCTTATTGATTTCTTTTTTTTCATGTAACTTCTGTGTATAAAGTTGTCTTTTATTATGCCATTTTGTTTAAATAATCGCTTCTATCTTCCAATATATGCATTGTTCATGAAGGAATCAGTGGAATAAATGTCGTCACAAGTTTGTAACAATTTAGATTTCGTGCAAATATAATATGTGCTTTTCTTTAAGAAATATTAACCTATAGACAAAGTTTGCAATACTTATCATGTTTCTCAATTGAGCAAAAAAATTCATGTTTTTTAATTGTACAACTTTAAAAAAAACACGTTTAGGCTTTAATTAAGCTGACATCTTTTAATGTTAATTTATAGTGTAAAAAAACATTTGTCATTCAATTTGGAAACATTCTTACATAAATAGATCATGTTTTGTAAATTGATTGACGACTAATTAAATGACAATGTGAACAAGATAGTATTTAGTAAAAAAATATGTTATTTATACGCACATATTTCGGCCTAAAGCACTTGTTAGTTTCGTCAGTCGTTAGCCAAATAATATCAGAAGGGGTTTTGTGGAGATTTCGGAAATTTCAATAGTTGAAATCATGAGCCAATTGAAGCTAGACCACCATCGAAAACCTGGAAGCACTGGGAGACCATTTCGTCCTAGTATGGGACTCCTCAGTAGTGGGTTCGGATCTAGCGGGGGGCGAGTTTGGGTTTCATAATTTTCGCTACATGGAGACACTTCCGGTCAACTGCTTAAACATTCAATGCATATTCGCTACAGAATTATGTTAACATAGAGTTGAATTCCAAATGGATTAGTCATTTGTGATTCCTTTGACCGTCATACTGATTGTATGTTCAATTGATACAGACAAACTGAATACAGATATCGATGTTGTACAGTCATCGTATATGTTATGAACGGGGAATTAAGAAGCCCAGACAGTTACGAAGCTATTGCTCGAAGTTATGTATATTGGCCTAATATCGATGAACACATCGAAGATTTCGTGCGTGTGTGCAGAAAATGTGCTGAGGTTTCTATGTGTCCACGAAAAGATGAACTACATTCCTGGCCATCTCCAGAAGAACCTTGGTCGCGTATACATGTTGATTTTGCTGGCCCATTCCAGGGTACGTACTTCCTCGTTTGTGTTGATGCTTATTCGAAATGGCCGGAGATTTTTCCTATAAATCAAATCACTTCGCAACAGACTATCATGAAGCTACGGCAGTTATTCTCCCGTTTTGGAGTTCCGGTGACAGATAACAGCACTCAGTTTATTTCTGCCATCTTCAGATTTCTGCAAGAGGTTTGGAGTCAAACATGTCCGTTCACCTCCGTACCATCCACAATCGAATGGTCAGGCCGAAAGGTTTGTAGATACCTTCAAAAGAGCGCTACTGAAGGCAAAAGGGGAGGGAAAGATAGAGGAGATTCTTGATGACTTTCTCTTGGTCTATAGAACAACTCCAAACCCATCAACACCAAATCAAATGTCCCCAGCAGAAATTATGTTTGGTAGAAAAGTAAGAACTGCTCTCGATGCCATAAAACCACAGCAAATAGACATCGGAAAAAGAAACAGAAAGATGGAAAACCAATTTGATCGCCATCATGGGGCGAAACGCAGAATTTTCCAAAAAATCAAAAAGTATACGTCCGTGATTTCCGATATTCACCTCCACAATGGACCAGTGGACGCATACTTAAGAGACAAGGGAACGTAATGTATGTGGTGGAAGTTGAAGGACAGAAGTGGACACGCCATGTCAACCACATACTGGAAAATGCTGGCACTTCACAGAAAACCGAGAAATTAGACTCAATGTGGAGAATCATTCTGGACAGTTTCGACATAAAATGCTCAGCAACTCAGAAGACTGCGCAACATGAACAAAGTCCTATTAGGAAAGCATCACGGAAACGCAGAAGACCAGATATTCTACAGGTAGACCCAAAGAGGAGAACATACGTTTCCGAAGGAAGATATCAATGATGATATCTCAGCACTTACCTGTATATAGTAACTAACCATATTTTTTTCTTTTTTTTAAGGGGGAAGGTGTTATGAACGGGGAATTAAGAAGCCCAGACAATTACGAAAGCTATTTTCTTGGGACGTTATTGCATTTCATTCAAACCCTGTAAAACACTTATATTTATTTTTGTCCCTATCTTATTCTACATAACACGAGCTTTCGTAATTGTCTGGGCTTCTTAATTCCCCGTTCATAACAGTATAGAGGTACTTAATTGCTGATTTTGGATCAGTTTTTTTCGTAACGTCTCGTATGAACACTTGCCAGCTAGTTTAAATAATGTAAAGATGATTCATGGAAGTATCCACCATGCTCTTATTGACATTAAATTTCTTGATACTCGTAATTAGGTGAATATATATCCAAATGATACAAACAACACATGTGTATCACAGTCTTCTCACCATATCTCAATTTCATTTTGAGTGATTACACGGCATCATATTGATCGTACATTTGCGGCGTGGTGATTGTGTGCCTACTGTTGTTTTTTTAGTAAATAAAAGACTTTTCAAGTCAAATAAGTTTATCAGTATGAAACTTTCTTGAGGACTAATCTTCAGTGAGTGTTTCTTTATTATTGACCGATGATGGAAAGGACTTTCGAATCTAATAAACATCGAAAAACCATAAGCCTGAAAATCATTCTCAACGTTTGGTAAAGACTTATTTAAATGTTTGGTGGATGCCATTGCTTCCAAAATGACTAAGTTAATTGTGTGAATGCAATTCCGAAGTTGTACAATAACAAATTAATTTTGACTAAAAAACAAGTGATCAGTAAAAATGTTTCCGATTGCATAGACGATGTTTAAGAAAAATGACTCACAATCGATGGACAGAAAGTGTGCTTTTATGTAGTGCCAAGTTCCAGATAACTTACTCGCTTAAATCGGGATCATTGGTTAGTTTCACTAGGCGATGTAGTCATTATGAATTAAAATTCTAAGACATATTTTCTTGGACGTACAGAATGATTCTTAGTTTTTTAAATCAGGCATAACGCTATCGATAGTTTTGACAGATCACCTATAGAAATTTACCGTAAATCTCATTATCTATAACTATCAGCACTCTAGTTTAAATCTTCATAATTTTATCAGTTATGTTAATTTTCATACCTTACTTAATCCAGCTCATTTAATTTAATTAGACAATTTAACACTTACTATACGATAGGGAAAATGTTCCCAACTATTTGAATCCTCTGTAGATACAGCTTTTTAATCGTATTGCTGTGAAATAAAGTATACGGAAAAACACATTGAGACTAATTTATGAATATATTTTTAAATACAAAGGCAAATCTTAAGAAGAGAACAATTAGCACTGACGAGGTTCCCCTCCCGAAAACTACATAAAAACTGCTATCTGACTATTTGAAGGTTCTTCAGCTAGTATCAGTACGTGAAAAAAAGCTAATTCACTCTTCAACTAGGTAAATGGGAATTTTATTACAATAATCATACGATAAATAGTTTTCAAAATATCCTAGAAATAATAAGAAAAAACTATTGTATTTATAAAACAGAAGTGTTAAGTTTATTGAAATAGATAAAATTATTATTAAGTTAATAGTGTTTCTCAGAATTATTGTTGCAATCAACATTAACGAATATTTGCTGATATCACCAGGATTGTGACAAACTGAAAATGAAAACAATGTAAATACATTAAAGAAAAAAAACATTTGAACACAGTGTATAAGTTTACGTATAGACAGTTGTATACACATAGGTAGGTATATTAAATAAAAGTAAAATTGTTGTACATTAATCCTATTGTAAAATTGAAATACGTAATATGTTTGTGTGTTATCAATCAGAAAAAAAAACAATGATATCATTATTGTTTTCCATTTAATCCCATTTCATTGATCAATGTGACTTTTTGAACTTTTTATCAAAACTATCCAGATTATAAACACGTAACATTTCTTCACGTAGACATTCAGCTGCTAACGCCAAATTTCTTGACTACGAAAAATAAATAAATGAACAACTATTATTCACTGTAACAATTTACATGGATACTTGTAATTTAGTGATATTGTTATTGTTGATTATTTTGTGCTAAAAAATAAGTAAAGAGAACTCTTACCAATCATTAGTGTGGCAAGTGATACAAATTTATGATTGTCAGTTGTGTTTTTAGCACATCGTTATAATTTAAAACAAGATCATTATATAGTGTATTCAATGGTATTGATAGTGACCTGTTTAATTTAGATGCTATTTTCGGATGGAAAAGAATTCTAATTTACGCTGATATAGAAGGAATACCAAATAGAGTTGATGTTAAATTGGTGATTGCTTATTAAGATATTGCTGAGGTTCAGTAACTTAAAACATAGGTAACAGGTTTATAATGTTATCTAACTATGAACTGCGGAATACAATCGCGTTTCTAACCCAGATACACATTTTGAGAAAAGTCAATCATTAGTGCACAGGCACCATGGGTTTATTTCCTAATACTAGTATGTTGTATCAGACCATTGTTCTTTGTATAACATCTCAGTTAATTTATGTATGAATATTAGGTCACTAGCTTATAGCTTATTAAAAGCATATAATCAGAGTACATTATGCTGAACTATTTTAAGAGCCAGTCTAACAAAATTAGTTCTGTTTAACTTTCCTAAAGTATTTCCGAATGAGTATAAGTATGGTGGACGTGAAACGTATGATCAGAACTAACGGGTTTTATCAAAAATTCTTTAAACAACCCTTCATCTTAGTTTATTTTTGGTGGTTATTATTATTGGGGTTACTGTTGGGAAATTTATTCCTGGAAATTCAAGGGTTAAAAAAGGTAACATGGCCGGTATGTCTAACCAAACTGTAAAAAAATAGCGAGGTCGATATGTCTGTTATAGATAACTTGCAAGACTCACTTGATGTGATCTATACGGAATCGTGTGGAGATTTTAAACGTGTATTTAACTAGTTAATCTTCGTACTGTCCAGGAACTCGTAAATCTCCTAACCAGGTAGAGTTTAATGTTATCCCAGTGTAAACTAACGAATCAATTGTGAATTACTAATATACCTTCCAGGAGTTAGGTAAATGTGTAGAATTAAAGGCTACATTTATTATAATGGAAAAAAAATACTCACTTGCTGAATCCTAGCTTCTTTTTCTTCAATTAGTCGACGTATGTGTTCATCTTTCTGTCGTAAAGCTAATTCAGCTGCCTTTCGTACTTCTTGTTCTCTGCGTTGTATTCTTTTAATAATGATAATAATCAAAGTTTGCGGTTAAACATAATTTACAAAATAAATAACGTTTTTGTTCACTGAAATGGTGAGTCCAGAAGACGTTAAGATTACCACCATTACTTTCCTATATGTAGTATATGGTATCCCAAAACGTGAAATGATAAATCTAATTGATTTTATTTAATGTCTAAACTTAATTTCACTAGCAAAATACTTATTAAGTAATTTACTATTATTCTGAAATTTGATAGTGAGCAGTTACCAATATCCTATTTATCTAGTCCTTGGCATCAGCCGAACTCTACCGGTCAAGTCGCGTTGTGTTCACTTAATTTCTGACTTTAAGTGGTTGGGTATAAAATTTTCTAATATCTTAGTTTTTAAATAAGAATGCAATTTATTACTGTCTTATTTCTGTGGTGAAACTCTTAAAATCCTACATTGTAAGTAGCAATGGTTAGCAAACTCATGAATAAGTTCACTTGATAATATGAGTTTGTTACTTGCATTTTCTGTACAAATTATGATCATTACTGGGAAGGCGTATGTTCATTATGTATTCTGATGAACATAATTACGCCTGTTACTCCTCATGAAAGAACATAGGCCACTCACCAGCATTCGCCATCCAACCCTGTCCTGGGCAATCCTTTCCAGCTCCTTCTAGTTGTTATTCATCCTTTCCATATCTGCTTTTATTTCCCGACGTAACGTGTTCTTTGGCCTTCCTCTTTTCCGCCTTCCTTCAGGATTCCAAGTTGTCGCTTGCCTCTTGATGCAGTCTGATGATTTCCCCAATGTAGGTCCTATCCACTTCCAACATCTTTTACTAATTCTCTCTTCAGCTCAAAGCTGGTCTTTTCTCTCCAACAGTTGACTGTTGTTGATGGCATCCGGTCAACGGACATTGATTATCTTGCGTAGACAATTGTTTGTAAATATTTGTACCTTTTCGATGATGGTTGTAGTAGTTCTCCAAGTTTCAGCTCCGTACGGTCGAACTGTTTTGACATTCGTATTAAAGATTATGACTTTAATGTTGGCTTGTTGTTTTGAGTTTTATATGTTATTCAACTGCAGGAATTCAGACCATGCTTTGCCAATCCTTGCCTTTACGTCTGCATCAGATCCTCCTTGCTCATCGATGATGCTTCCTAGGTATGTGAAGGACTCTACATCTTCCAGAGTTTCGCCATCAAGAGTGATTGGATTGCTGTTCTCCGCTTTGAATTTGAGGACCTTGGTTTTCCCCTTGTGTATGCTGAGGCCTACTGATACAGAGACTGCTGCTACACTGGCTGTCTTTATCTGCATTTGTTCATGTGTATGCGATAAAAGGGCCAGGTCATCTGCGAAATCCAAATCGTCTAATTGATTCTGAGCTGTCCATTGTATTCCGTGTTTTCCCTCAGATGTCGAGGTCTTCATAATCCAGTCGACCACCACAAGAAAGAGGAAATGAGAGAGTAGACAGCCTTGTCTGACTCCGGTCCTTACATGGAATGCATCTGTCAGCTGTCCTCCATGCACGACCTTGTACTGTAGTCCGTCATAGCTCCGGATAATATTGAAAATCTCCTCAGGAACTCCGTAGTGTCGAAGAAGTTTCCATAACGTTCTCCTATCTACACTGTGAAATGCCTTTTCATAATCAATGAAGTTGACGTGCAGTGACGAGTTCCACTCAACTGATTGTTCAACGATGATCCGTAGTGTCGCAATTTGGTCTGTACACGACCGATCCTAACGGAATCCAGCTTGTTGATCTCGAAGTTGGGCGTCTACTGCACCTTTCATCCGATTCAGCAAAACTCTGTTAAAGACCTTTCCTGGTACTGGCAGTAGTGTGATGCCTCTGTAGTTTTCACATTTGCTTAGGTCTGTTTTCTTTGAAATCTTGATGAGGTGTCCTTCTTTCCAGTCCATTGACACTTGTTCCTCCTCCCAAATCTTTTTAAATGGAAGGTGAATTATATTTGTAGTTACTTCGATGTCTGACTTCAGTGCTTCAGCTGGTATATTGTCGGGTTCTGCTGCTTTCTTGCTCTTGATTTGTCTGATGGCCATTCTGATTTCTTCCGTCGTTGGTGGACTGACATCTATAGGAAGATCTGTGTGCGCTGATTCGATGTCCGGTGGATTCATTGGAGCCGGCCTATTCAGGAGTTCCTCGAAGTATTCTACCCATCTTTTCCGCTGTTGTTGAATTTCAGTGATTGGCCTGCCCTCTTTGTCCTTCACCGGTCTCTCTGGTTTACTGTATTTCTCTGCTAGTTTCTTCGTTGTATCGTAAAGTTGTTTCATATTTCCTTCTCTAGCAGCTTTTTTCTGCCGTCGTTACTAGTTCTTCCACTATTTCTGCTTGTCGGCTCTAATGCTTTTCTTCACTTGCTTGTTTGCTTCCATGTATTCAGCTTGTGCTTGGACTTTCTCTGCTCGTGTTCGGCTGTTGTTAATTGCTGTCTTCTTGTTCTTCCTTTCTTTGATCCTGTCCAGTGTTTCTATAGAGATCCATTCCTTATGATGGTGCTTCTTTAGACCCAGAACCTCTTGACACGTTGAAGTTAATGCTTCTTTGATACTTTTCCAGTTGTCCTCCATGGTAGTTCCTTCTGATGAAGGTAAAACACTAAAAATATGTTCGATATCCACGATTTTGAGAGTAAATGTTTGATGAACAACTATCCTCACTGTCAATTGGAGAAAATAATATATTACTGAGAAGGACATCTAAATGAGATAAAAATATGAATTCTTCGATGATTTTCTTTTTAACTTCCAAGAAGATTGAAAATATGCTTTCAAAGAAGCAGGTGTATCGATGATTGGTCTTTGTTTGGTTGCGCCGAAATTCCGTTGGCGCTTATATAATCACCATGACTTAATGAGAAAAATGTTGAAGCAATAGTAGTAGGTAGCATAAAAATTCGAATAAATAAGTACTACATTCAGATCAGTAGCTTGCCCAGATAACTTGCTCAATTTACAATCTAATAGTTCTTTGTAAAAGAAAAACATAAACATACATTGGGCCATGCTAGTTCGGAGTCTTATTCTTAATATGAGAATTAACTGCGTTAGCAAGTGATTGATACCGTTGAATTCTACTAAATTATCTTACAAATTCAATTTTCATTAAAACTTACTTCGCTTACGCCTGTTGCCCCTCACGAAGGAGTATAGGCTGCTCATTTCACTAAAACTACACAGAATAATTTACAAATATTTATCGATATACCTAATGATTTTTCAATTGATGTTAATCAGTTATAAAACTCAACTTTCATTAAATGACAATATATTTCAACTAACTCTTTTGTATTTTCTTCAACTTGCATTTGTTTTTGTCTTCGTTCTGAAGCTAATCTTTTCTGTTCTTCTGATAATCTACAGGATACACGTTCCATAGCTCTTTGTATAGACTGTACATTCAAAAATAATGAAAATAAGTTGGTTGGGTTGCACAAACTCAGAGATACTAGTTATATTTTCAAATATCTATTCAATGTAAAAAGAAGTTACAGACTTTATGTAAGCAATGATGGATACTGGCTATCAATAGAATCCAGGATGCGCGTTTCGTCCTATTGAAGACTCGTCAATTGCAGTTTTAAACCTCAATAGGAAGATACAAGCCAAGCAATACCAAGTGAATTTAAATTCACCCCATTATTCAAGCAAGTGGCTCAGTAGCTGAGTGGATAACGCGATGGCGTTTGAAGCGAATGGTACTGGGTTCGAGTCCCAGAGTGAACATCAACTCTGAGATTCAGGTACATCCAGCTGACGAGTCACAAATAGGACGAGACGCGCGTCAAACTGGATTCCACTGCTAGCCACTATCCATCATCGCTTACAAAAAGCTTGCAAATTAAGTCAATATCGAGGCATACGCACAGTATGCACATATGCCAATAACAGACTGATCAATTGCAGTCCTAAGCCTCGATGAGAAGATACAAGCCAAACAATACCAAGTGGATTGAAATTATAGACGTTTCACTGTGTTTAACGTTCACAAACAAAATCTCGGCAGTATATATGTTCCTTAATTCACGTGTTTTATGACTACATAAAACTCAATCGTTCGGTACCTCCAAAATTTCTTCTGAATAATTCTGAAATACTCAGAAAATCAGAGTGATTCTCATCGAACTAGGATACTTCATAAAAACGCTTCAATCGTTTTAGATAATAAGTTCTGTATTATTAGAAGGCTGAGGAGTTCATCGGAGTGTTTTCACTCAGATCACCACCAAATGACTGAAAACCGATAAACGTATCTATCGTTGGATTAATTTAATAAATGATCAATGATAGGTATTTTTTAATTATGCTGTCATTTTTTTCAAAACTCCTTCAGGAGCCTCCCCGGATCTACTGCCGGTCCCAACCCTGAATAGAGAAGGGTTGGGTATGGGGTTAGCAACCACTTCCCATAGAAAACTAACTCGCTAAAAAACGCTAATCAGATAAAATAATTCAAACCATCTATACTCTGCCCTGAGAGTTAGAAGGTCTTCATTGAGAAGAGTTATGACGCCTCATTATGAAAGCCTAGTTCCTTTGGAATTCACGAAGCTGGTGCTCCTCCTGACAACCAGAGCGATCGTTAATTTAGGTACATGGGATGCTCGTACAGTGTGGGAGACATCGAGAGCTATTTTTTTCAAAGAGATTTCAACTAGATTAGTAGCTGACTTAATTGATTTGATTATAACTTCAAATCATTAGATAAATCGTATGTACAAATAATTTTAAGCATTTTTACCTATTAATATAAGTTAAAAATTCACTACTAATTTCATTAGTTATTTCAATAACCGTAAAAAGACGTTTAGTTTAATTGTTATTTAGATAAATTCCAATCTTCCTAATCCACTCACTGTTAGGTTAAAAGCTGCAAACGAGATATTTCAAACAAAATTTTATAATCACCAGTTATTACGTAACAAACAAGATAGACTGCTAGCTTACTTCTGAATATTTTTGATCACGGTATCTTTCCGAAAATTCAATTGATACATTTTAATGTCAATAATCTCAATTTCAGAATACTGAATAATAGGTTTACTGGTCGCTACATTTGATGATCAAGTACATATACATGAATTTTAAATGTCTAGAATATGTCGTCAATCTGGATGGATTTCCTAGCAAATATCAAACATTATTTTATATTTTATAAGCAAAGATGGATAGTGGCTAGCAGTGGAATTCAGGACACGCGTATCGTCCTATTTGTGACTCGTCAGTTGGATGTATTTGCATCTCAGAGTTGATGTTCACTTTTGGACTCGGACCCAGCACCGTTTGCTTCACACGCCATCACGTTATCCACTATCCATCTTTGCTTATGACCTAAGGCAATATCGAGGCAGGATGCATATATGTCAACAAGAGACTGATCAATTGCAGTCCTAAATAATAATGAAAAGATACAATTAAACAACACCAAGTGAATTATTTTAATATTATTTTATTTATTATGTAGATTTTGTTTTATTCTCATGATAAATGTAATATCAGGTAGTGGAAGCTTTGAATGATATGATTCGAAATCAATTACGTTGTGGTAAATTCATTCACTTATTATCCTTTTTTCGAACAACGAGAAAGTGGGAGAATTTCGCCAAAAGGCAGGCTTCCACTCGAGAACAACTATATTTTCTCCATGAGTGTCTTCGCCAGCATGTTCTACCAACAAGTGTAAGATATAGACCTCCAATCAACTGCCCATTAGGGTGGAAAATAGCTGAGCAAAGTGGGAGAAAAATGGTACACCTAATGATAACAGATGCACACTACAGGATCCGCAAATACCAACACGTCATAGAGGATCAAAAGATGAAGCTACAAAGGACACTCACGTCAGTACTTATTATCCTTCTCTAGATCTTGAGTTTCAGTATTTCTTCAATCATTTTCAGCTGTTTTTTCTTAAACTATATTCTCAATTTTAAGTTTTTCTCATTATCAATTCTATTATAATTATTTCGACTACTTTGCTGTCATTCTTTACTATTGATTTTAAAAGACAAATTGAGCTAACACGTATTTATGTCAGGCTGAATTTTGAATATTACTGGCTGCCCAACTTTTATTTTATTGATAAAAGGTCGTTATTAGAAATGTGATTAAATGCTATTAAATGATAAAACGTCGATGATATTTCGTATTTATGTTGCCCATATGAATAATATCGTTAGGTATTTCGATAATGTTGGCTTACTTGTTCTCGAGCTTCGTACAGTTCTTTTCTATATTCTTCAATCATTTTCCTTAATTGTTTTCTTCTTTCTAGAACTTGACGAACTTTTCTTGCACGTTCATAACTGAAAAAGTTTTCAATTATGGTTAAGAAGCACCAAGTTTCCTGTCAATCTGTCTGGTGCGTTTAATTAAAAAACATTTCTAATACTACATTGAGATAAAGTGGGCAGGTTGCTGAACCTCTAATAAGGGATGTAAAATGTTTTAGTTACTTTTCTGGCTCCTTAGCAGTATGCAATATCAATCTACATAAAGCCAAACTTAAGAGGTTCAGTGGTTTGTAACTGATATAGACCCTCTTGAAAAAGGACCCAATCTGAACTTTAGAAACAACTTAGTTTATACTTTGATCATCTGATGGAACAATGATTACTAATTACGATTTTAAATTAGTCAGAGAACAAATACTTTACAGAAAAGTATTTGAAAGTGTGATCATACAACTACAATTCTAACTATACTTTAGTGAATACATAAATAATGTTTAGGTAGTCAAGTAAATTTGGCCATAACTTATGGACTGTTTATCTTTATCATATCGTTCTTCAGTAACTAATTGACTTGGTAGGAGACCTTATTCATGCACAAGTTTTATCAGTATAGGGTTATGAAGAATGTTGAATTTTATTGTGATCGTGAACCGATCCAAATTAAACAACCAGTGAAAATTTGGAAGCACTAGGCAGCCACTTTGTCCTGGTATGGGATTCAGCAATGGGCACTTACGACTCCGTCACCGGAGGTCAAACCCAGAATCTTGAGTCTCACGCTCAACTTCTAGACCACTGAGTCGGGATTCAATGGAGCACAGATTTGACTCCAATTAATCCGTGACATTAGTCGTGCGATATTGTAAAAATGCTGAGTGACTTAAAAAAAATCGTATATTCTTTCAAAAGTATGAATCATGACAAAACAACCGATTCGATAATATTCTAGAATGACTGAGGTGAAGAGTCTGATTACTCGATTATGGACGAAAACCACGAGTTCAAATCCAAACAATTTTCAGAAGGCATAACTATTTTTGAAAGAACTGTATGTATAATTTGGAAATTAAAAGTAGTGAATATTAACAAGAATTAAGTAAGAAGTCTAAGATGATTACCTAATACCTTCAACCACTTAACATTAATAGCGATAATGAGTTTTGTATCTCTTTAAAATTCCAATGAATATTGATTGTAAAACCACCATATATATTCGTATAATTACGTTTACTCATCTATGAAACTTACTGGGCCGTAATCATATTTCTTTCTTTTTCTTTCAAAATTTGATTTCTGTGTTTTTCAACTTTGTTTAGCTTCTCTTCATAACATTTTTGTGCATGTTCTCTTTCATCACTATATCAGTTACAATAGCAAAAATAATCATTATTGTTCGATTATCACGTAGTTCATACATGCAATATCTAAATATTAAGCCGATGATTTTAAAATTTTTGCCACCTACTTCGGTTCAGATCATAATGAATGGATATCTATCCAAACTCTGAGAAAGATTCGAGAAAAGAAGACAGTGATTAACAACAGCCGGACAAGAACAAATTTCAAGATTAACAAGATCTACTCACAGGAAAAGAAACTACTATGGAGGATAACTGAAAAGGGATCAAATAAGCACTAACTTCAAAGTGTCAGGACGTACTGGGCCGCAAGGAGCATCATAATAAGCAATGGATTTCTATCGAAACCCTGAAAAGGATTCAAGAAAGAAAGAAAAAGAAGACAGAAATTAACAACGGCCGAACAAGAGAAAAGAAAGTCAAGGCACAAGCTGAATACACAGGAGCAAGCAAACAAGTGAAGAGGAGCATTAGAGTTGACAAGCAGAAATACTTGGAAGAGCTAGCAACGACAGCGAAAGAAGCTTCAAGAGAAGGAAATATGAAACAACTTTATGACACAACGAAGAAATTGTCGGGGAAATATAGTAAACCAGAGACCAGTCACGTAAAAAGAAGGTAATTCAATCATTGAGATTCAAGAAAAGAAGAACAGATGGGTAGAGTACTTCGAGGAACTCTTAAATAGACCATTTCCATTGAATCCACCGGATATTGAAGTAGCACCTACAGACCTCCCTACAGACTGGATTATGAAGACCTCGACATCTGAGGGAAAACACGGAATACAATAAGCAGCTTGTACGCAACTAGGCGATTTAAACCTCATAGATAACCTGGCTCTTCTATCCCACACAAACCAGTAAGTGCAGGTCAAAATAATAACTGTAGCAGCAGCCTTCGCATCAGTAGGCATCAACATACACAAATGAAAAAGCAACATCCTCAAACACAACACAGAGAACATCAACCCAATCACACTCGATGGAGAAGCTCTGGAAAAGGTGGGGTCTTTCACGTACCTGAACAGAATCATCGATGAACGAGAAGGATCTTATGCAGACGTAAAGGCAAGGATTGGCAAAGCATGGTCTGAATTCCTGCAGTTGAATAACATATAAAACTCAAAACAACAAGCCAACATTAAAGTCATAATCTTTAATACGAATGTCAAAACAGTTCGACCGTACGGAGCTGAAACTTGGAGAACTACTACAACCATCATCGAAAAGGTACAAATATTTACAAACAATTGTCTACGCAAGATAATCAATGTCCGTTGACCGGATGCCATCAACAACAGTCAACTGTTGGAGAGAAAAGACCAGCTTTGAGCTGAAGAGAGAATTAGTAAAAGATGTTGGAAGTGGATAGGACCTACATTGGGGAAATCATCAGACTGCATCAAGAGGCAAGCGACAACTTGGAATCCTGAAGGAAGGCGGAAAAGAGGAAGGCCAAAGAACACGTTACATCGGGAAATAAAAGCAGATATGGAAAGGATGAATAACAACTAGAAGGAGCTGGAAAGGATTGCCCAGGACAGGGTTGGATGGCGAATGCTGGTGAGTGGCCTACGCTCCTCTATAAGGGGTAACAAGCGTAAGTAAGTAACTTCTGTTCAGGGAAGTGAATCCTATCTAACAGTTATTATGGTATAAAACTTATTCGATAAATCTGTATTGGATTATTAAGTTTCAGTACTCATGTAGAAAATTGTTGTTATTTTTATTAGCGGCTATCAAGAATAAATATTTTTCAATAAACAGGCATCCCATCATATTTCAAAACTGTTCATATGATAATAAGTCTTGTTTTCATATTATGCAAAAATTAACGTTTCCTACGTGTTGATAATTGTTTGTAAAGTCAATCTCTCAATTAAAAATTAACCCATCTACTCTTATTGAGCCATAGGGTTATTATGTAGTAGTACTTAAATCCATACCGTTCATAAAATTTAATAAATGATTGTGTGAGAATAAAGAACTAAACAGAAATGTGATCATTACACCGAGCACAAATTAGTGTGCACATGATAAACAGAAAAGTAATTGTAAAAAGATTTAAACTCCTGTGTTTATAGTAAAAACATTCTACTAGTAAGCGGGGTGATATATACTTTTTGCTAATAGAAACCAAAAAATCAATGTTAATTACTTTCATAAAATAGTATTCACAATGAGCTATTACGGCAAGACTACCACGTTTTTCTTCAAATTATTTTCTAAACTTTAATATTTACCCTTTACCAGACATCATTATTAAAAAAATAGATTTCTCACAAGTTGATAACAGCTAGTGAACGGAGGAATGTTGGACAAGTGTTTCACTGTACTTCTAGATTCCTATTACAGCCAAGAGTTCAACAGAGATAAAAAGCAGCAACGTGAAAGCATAGAGTTGACATTTTAAACTTTTGATAATTTGTGATAAAGAGCAGTCTAAATCCATATTCATCAGTGATTTCTTGTATTTTGCTGTATATTACTAACACGTTTCTAAATAGGGCAACCTAAACAACCAGTATTCCTTGGTTTCATGTAAAATCTCCATAATAAAAAACCACTTAAACATAGATGATACAGTTAACTACCGAAAGACTAAAAAAATTTGCACATTCGAAATCGGTTTTTTTTTGAAAATAACATCATACTTTTGCATTCGTTCTTGAGTTTGTTTCCGTTTCCAAAACTGTCTTTCTTTATCAAGTGATGAATGTGATGCCCTACGCTAAGAATAAATATACCAATAAATATATACTTCGAAAACAGGGAATATTTAACATATAACATACAATAAATGATTTAAATATATATTCACCAATTAATAAACACATTTTACTGAGACAATAAATTTATATTTACAAATAATACAACAGAGGATATTTTCATTACTAAACCAACTAAATGATTGTATCCAATATTGATCGAGTACTATGTTCAATAGGAACTATACTTTTTGAGTTTTACAAAAATATTTTTTTCCTCCATTATGTAATTCAAAATGAATGTGAGACTTTTCTTTTCAATTAGTTTTTCATCATGGCTGTACACTAATATATATAATGAAATAATACTCATTGAGTGGATACGTTACGTAAATCCTGCCCTCAAATGCCCTGGTATGGTCGAGAGTGGGGTGGGCCCTCCCTCTCGAAATACTCTCACACGGCCACGCGTATACAGCCTCCGCCAGGGAAGTCCTACTCACTGCATTCTTGTGGAGAGGGTGTTGTTTATGAAATCGAGAGGACGAAAAGCAAATTTCCGGAGCTTTAACCGGGTTGTGTCCACCCAGGGAAGCTGGAAAATCTTGATTCCAAATCAATGATGCACATGGACTCCAGTACCCTGAGGGGACAAATGGCGTATGAACCAATCGTTGGTCACCGGCTATCATGGGACTGCATCTCCTCACGATGCTCCACTGCCTTGTGGGTTAGACCTTTAGGTCAAAGGCTCGGGGTGTGGCCCCCTAAGATAACCACCTGCTTCGGTCTGGGCACCCGGGTAGTATACCAGCCCTCGCACAATTCAAATGATCTATGTGGTACATATCTATTTGGTGCCTCCTTGTACCAATGTTTATGTGTTTAAATAAATAAATTGTACATTCTATATAAATGTATATATTATTGTAGAGCCATGATGAAAAACTAGTTGAAAAGAAATTTCTTCGCTCGATTCGTTCCTTCTTTATTTACCAAAGGTCAAAATGGAAATTTTCACTATATTAAAAGTAAGATTGATTGAAAAAAAGGTTTACAAACTTTATCACAATAAATAAAACGGAATTTCAGTTGAAAACACTTGCCACTATTGTAAAAACCATAAACATCATGAGGAAAATCGAATAAAAAAAACAACAAATAAAATATATTTGCAAAAAAAAAAGAAATGAAATTAATTTATTAAAAGTTTTTGTTACATATAAAAATAAGAGAATTATTAGAAATTAAGGTGTATTGAATAGCTATTTTATTCTAGTATAACAATTTACAGTAGAGCATGTTCGTTACCTCGTGAAAGATTTTTTTAAAAAAAGAATTTAGGATCATTAGGTTTTTGTGTGGAGTACACGATATTTAGATCAATAGGTTCGAATACAATAGTACACATTTTGTAATATCAGTTTATCCTCAGAGTTATGCAACAATAAGCCAACATATATATATATTCGAATAAACTGTATTTTTTTTAATGTCTGTCTGATGTAGGTTAAAGAATAATTGAAAATCAATGGGTAATAGGTATTTCTTTAATTGGACAGGTTTCAACACATAACATTTATCTGAAAATAATATCTTTATTGTCAAAAGAGAATAAATTTAAAAATCTAAACTAGAAGAAAAAAATAACAGTTGAAATCAAAAGTAAAAGAATAAAGGTTTAAACAGAAGGCCAAGGAAAGATGCCAATAATTTATTATTGAATTCATAGTAGACAGTAACATTCAAAAAATGTGCTGACGTCTTATGTTATCCATTCATGATTATGTTTAACAGATCTTTCTCATTTAATATCATACCGAAAGATGAAGATAATCCCTGTATCCAAGAAATTATCTGGTGATAAGAATGTGAAATTTAGACTTATTGCATTAGCTTCACACTTCCTCAAAACAATCGAAAAATTATTAATACTTCCACTTCAGCCTGCGATAAAAGAGCATATTGATCCGTACCAGTTTGCTTACAGATGGAAAAGAAGCACCTTAGATGCTGTTGCTGTTCTACATCACAATATAGTGCTCAACTTAGAAAAGGATAAGAAATATGTTCGATGCACTTTTCTGGACTATACTTCAGCTTTTGACTCTATACCAAGACAACGTTTAATTAACAAGTTAGTCAGCGTCAACACTGAAAGCTAGATAACCAAATGGCTATGTTCCTACCTATCTGGAAGGGAACAGTACACTATATTTGGAGGAAAGCGTTCAACGCCTCTACTGTCTCATGAGGGTGTACCACAAGGAGCTGTTCTTTCACCACTTTTTTTTTCTCTTTTTTTCTACACAATCTGCCATCTTCCACAAAAAACACTTTTGTGAAATATGTGGACGATTTCACTGTATGTATGCCGATTTCTACCTCTTTACATTCCGTAGAAATGAATGAGATTTTGTATCGTATTGAATGGTGGTCTGTTGTTAATATTCTCATACTTAATCCGTCTAAATGTCAATCTGTTAACTTTAGCATGAGACATGAACGGAATCTAAACACCATATTGAGATTCCATAATGCTTGTGCGATTGAAAACTGTTTGATAAACACAGTGTCGAAGGTCAGTTATCTTGGTGTTACCTTTTCCTCTGATCTCTCTTGGTCTTCTCACGTTTCATTGTTATCGAAGAGAGTTTTCCGTCTGAATTACTACATAAAGTGAATGCATGCTCTTGAGATTACTCGTCATTTACTCTTACACTTTGTCAATTCTTGCATATTACCTATTATTCTTTACTGTTCTCCATTATTCTTTCCCGGGCCTTTGAGAAAAGACTTTGCTGTATTGCGTAGAGTGCTGAAGGCAGTTTTCAAGGTGTGTGGTGAATCTTTTGAGGTCATAATTAATATGGTTGTGGATAGACATCTAAAGTCATGCAAACTCCTGCCAGGTGTTATTTTATCAGGTACTAACCATCCCCTTCACTCTTATCTTTCTCCTTGTATATCTTCTGGTAGAATGAGACGTAATTACATTAAAATCCATGCACGCAAGCAAAAGTATTAAAGTTCTATAATACCTTACCTAGCAAATACACTCTGTGACGAACAGGTTGTTAGAGTTAACCTAGCCAATAACCTGCATTCTTAACATGTCGCTAATTTGTAAAGTTGTACAGTTGTTCGGTTTTATTTTTTTAAACCTTTTTTCCCTTTTTTGTCTTTGTTACTGTTTTTTGCGTAAGTAATCTGTTGAAATACCCTGTGCTGAGAATTCTATATCGTACCAAAGTATAATATTGAGTAAAGCCATTAATAATAAATAAATAAACAAATAATCCTTCTAGTTAGTTCATTTATGAATATTATTATTTCACGATGCAATCAAAGAACATACTAAGTTTAAATGCAATACATCTTGAAAAGTAATTTACTTAATAAATTTCTATAAGTTTAAAAGGACATATAAGACTTACTGATAAACGCTGCTCCGTACTTTTCAAATAATTGGAACTCATTTTATCATGTTGAGATTTTCGCCAAATAGCCGATTGTGGTCTAGATGCCTAAAACATTAAATAACGTAACAACTATTCAATTTTTTTTAAAGGTTAGTTTATATGGTAACAAATATAATTATTGACTGAATATTTATCAATCATTTATATTTTGTTCGTAGGGTAAATTTTAAAAATGGAAGATGTCATTAAAAATTAAAATCAATAGTAGGGTATGAAAATATTAGATAGTTATTGTATCTTATTCAGAAATGCTTCAGTTGTTGGTGGTATATTATGACCTGAAGGATTCGCTAATAATTCATTGATTCTTGAATTATTAGAATGAATTCTTCTAATTAATATTTTTCGAGGCTGATCAATTTGTCTTATCCATTATTATCACTGTAAAGTATTCAGTTTAGCTTTGCGATTACTTTAAGTAGAAAGCTTCAGGTTAATTAAAAATATGTACTAAGGATACAAAATTCAGGTTTAAAAAAATAGTCAAGTGGTAACAATTACTCAAAGATTTCTGAGAAGAAAAGCAACAAGATGTTAAACAACTGCTCACAAATACTTTTTTATTTTCTTATCATTTAAAATTCTGAAAAAGATATCCGTCAAACTACCAGAAATTCAAATGAAACTTTGAATTTATATGGATATATCAATGAGTATGTTTAATGGACGTTTATTGGTGAGAGAAATATGTCAGTAATGACTAAGTTTAATATTACGGCCAAGAACTGCTTGCATTGAGAAATAGGAAAAATTAGATTTACTCCGTATCTCTCATCACAAACTGAGCTTCTAAGGCCGTGAGTTATTGTATAAGCTTAAACAAACTACCAAGTGTATTGAACTCAAATTTTTACCCCTTGAAGTTACTCTGAATTCGCTGATCTGTCTTTATTTAGTTACTAATCAACAACAGCTGTACTCTTATGCTCTGTGTTGGTAGATATGGGAACTGAGTTACTACGATTATTTGCTATTATTGTCCACAAGTTTGTAGGCCGTAATTTGATCCTCATGTTTAATTACCTTACTTAATCACCCACTCGTTTGTTTTGCTTTCAAGATGCAAACTAATCATAAAGAGAAACACTAGCACGGTACTGAAGCGGACAACCTTGAAACGAAGAAAGACCTGAAAAGCCTAACATCTTAAGGGGTTACATGAATATTTTTAACAATAAAAGTGGAGGTAGGACAACTGTATTTCTACAGAGGAGTAGCACTTTGAAAGAGACAAGCTCAGTGTCCCCTGAATCTTTTTAAGATGAGGTTTTTGTGATCTTAGTTCAATTACCTATTGGATGGAGTATGCTTTTTTAAAATGCAAAAGTGGTTACATACACATAGTTCCCTTTATAATTTTGAAAAAAAACAAAAACAAAAATTCTAGCAGAACAGCATGATTTCATAATCATCTGAATAAAAGTTGTTAAATTTAAAAAAACGACATAATAATGACATTACAAAATGTTTCCATAAAACAAGAAAAATGTAAGAGATGAATTCCATTAGGCAGAACTATTTAACAAATAAAATATTCGAATTTATAATAATAATGTTAAAACTAATTAAAATAACAATTAACACTTGCCTGACCAACAAGAACCAAGTTTTGTAGACTTCTTGATAATGAGCCACTTGATGATAAACAATCAATTTTATTCTGCTGATATTTTCTTCGCATTAATTCAATTTGTTTAATTTCCTGAGAAAAACAAATAACAATATAAAATTGAATATGTAGATAAGAATGAATATACAAGTTACAGAAGTGGGGAACAATTAATTGATATCAAGTTGAGTGAATATAGATTATTGTACTGCAAGATGATAGCAACCGATGGTTGGAGACCATGAATGAAATGGATCAAAATCGTTTGTAATGAAGCAGTTGCATCCACTCTTTGTGTTCTCCAAAATTCTAATCTTCTGAATTCTTCATATCCCCATTTTTTTCTCTTTCCAAATTTATTTCATTGGATTATATTCCCTGAATAACATCTTCAAACCCTAATCTTTCTGATTACTGCTTATACTCTTACCACCTTTACCACTATGGGATTTGAATTGACAACTGCATCTCTGTGCTAATGTGGTATGGCAACTCAAACCGATGTACATACATACGAAGTTCTACGTTGTTACTGACTGACTGAGTATAGATTATTATAATTGATGAAAAAGTGACATTAAATATTTCCTGAAAATTAAGATTCTGTAATCATGAAATTCATCCATTTTTGTTAAATTTCTTGGATTTTAGGAAACAATTATTCGATGGTTATATATTTTTTTAACAACGATCACTCCAAAATGTATGATGTAGTGAACGTCCAGTGTAAAATCATATAACTTGACAATGACCTTTGGTCTTCAATAATTTTATAGTTCAATAAGTAAATTGTTTATAGCTTCAAGTAAAAATTCAAATTAGGATGAAATCTTAACTATGTACATAGAGAAACTCAATACCTCAATACATGGATGGTGGAGCAATTTCGTGGATTGGTTGGAGTTAGACATTAACATCAATGGATTGCAGCTTAGTGGTCTAGACATTAAGCTTTCGTGCGCGAGACTGAAGGTCCTGGGTTCAAATCCCGCGAGCAGGATCGTGGATGGGCACTGCTGAGGAGTCCCACAATAAAAGGAAATGGTCGTCCACTGTTTCCAGATTTTCCATGGTGGTTTGGTTTTAAATCGATTCATGAATTCAACTATTAAGTTACTTTGACAAACATTAAGCAATCCATGATATATTGACCGTAAGAATATTTCGTTTAAGACTAGATATTATTCTGGCTGAATATATTTTCCGAAATACATGACTTTTTAGTTTAAAATAATGTATTTCTATTAAGGGAAATAAAAAAGTACTTTTCTATTTAAATGAACATATTTTGTAATCTTAAAGTAATATAATTTTGCGTGATTTGCAAAACCATAGTATGTGCTTGTTTAAATAAATGTTCAACTCAACTATTTTTTTTATTAAAAACCGTTATAGAATATTTATTAGTCTGGCATTACCTACCGTAGGTTGTAGTTTCTCAATTAGATATGAATACTTTTTAGATAAACTTGGTTCAAGGTTGACCAAATTTTGAAAAGTTCCAGGAGATGAATGAGAAATTGAATTTCTGAAAATAAGAAAATTAAGTCCAATAAATCAAAGAAAACGACAAATCACCTTTTAATATTCTGTTTGAATATATTTTGGTAATCAGACATATATTGTAAATAATTCAAAGTAACTTAAATAACAATAATTGACCAAGATATATGTTGAATATTTAAATTTATTCACAGACAATTGAACAAATTTGTATGAGATAGAAATGTAACATCGTACCAACACAGATGAAAGAAATAATTAAGATGTATATCAAACGATTTAAAATAATGGTGATGTTATCGATGGAATAAAATAAAATTGAACTTCAGATAGTTCGAAATGATCTAACGAAATACTGAAATAATAATAGTATAACTGAAAATTTATGATAGGATAAATAATAAATATATTTGTTTCCTTGTAGCTTCGAAAGTGACAAAATGCTTTAATAGAAATAAATACATGAATATGATAGGTTCCCAATTTCACGGTTACAATATGTTGAGACTCTTACAGTCTATAAAGGCAATGTATCTGCCACTCACTGTTTACATTTACAGGAAAATTCTATACTAGTTTTTTTTATTTCTTAATTGTTCAAGATGAGCAGTAATTATTTATCAGCATATTATTAGTAACAGATACTTGTCCTTTCATAAATTAAGATCAAATTACCACTCAAATCGTTCAAATTCAGATGTTCAAGTCCTAATGTAGTAACTAATCTAAAGTAATTTTACCTCACGATGCATTTTATTTGTTATATTGTTGTGGATAAGTGGCAAAGAATCATTCAATTATGTTTCGTATTACTTCGTACCGATCAATATTACTTATCTATAATCTTGAAATTAATAACGAGGTATTTATGTTTGTTAAGATTCTCGAAATAAGACAGGGCTTTCTAATTTTACTCACTACAGAAATTAAAAAACATTAGCTTCCAATTTAGCTTTTAAATGTTTCCCTTCAGTAACTTTCATTTCATATCCATAAAGTTTTCCTCTGGTTAATCTTCCATTGATAATAAAATCACTCATTTAAGATGAGTTTTCGGAATGTGTTATCAAACCATTTCAACGGATCAATCCATTAGAGGGCAATCAGTTGAAATAGAAATCTCTTCATCAACAACACACTCGCGTCACTTGGAGTCAGATGAAGGTTAAATACCAAATACGAAGTTCTACGTATCAGACCTGAAATTCTAAAGAATATTATTGTTAATCGCTAAGAAAGGCATACATCTCAAGTAAATGATCCTTATGCAGTAATGCTTGGAAATAAAAGTCTCCAGAAACTACCTCTTCTGGTGAGTGGCCTATGCTCCTTCACGAGGAGTAACAGGCGTAAGTAAGTAAGTAAGTAAGAAACTACCTCTTGGTGTTTTTGCCACAGATTAAATGAGGTATTAGTCAATCCAGTGGCAATTTCTTACAATTAAAGCTAACTGGTCACAAATTTATGGGCTCTTTTTAATTAATATGAAGTGCAATTAAATTTCGTTATTTTTATTTAAAGATTGAATTCGACTAGACAAAAGTGATAGATAAAAACATATGAATCGTTTTATCCTAACCGTTAAAAAGGTCTGCTCGAACTAAACAACACAAAACAAATTTTCAAATTTAGCATTACTGTATGAATCAGTTATAAAAATCTAAACATTCAAACTCGTTCAAATATCGAGTAGAAGAGAACCACATTTGAGAGCTATAATCCAATCCGCTCCAACTAATAGTACACTATACAACCAGAATAATTCACGCTTCTATAATGACAGTTATGAAATGTTTGTGCCTTTTGACTGTAGGTAGATATAATAGCAGTAATGTATGATGAATAATTAATACATTTACGGTACAAGTAAATGTTTCATGTTGTGTTTTAATCTATTATAACCATACAATACAACTCTACTCTGCCTACATCTAATTTTTGTTTGTTTCGCCGAAGTTATAGCTTATTTAAAATGAGTAGCTTTTCTCTAGGCTACTTTAAATTCACAGAATTCTTTTAATATGGAGGCTTTGATCAACTAGTGAACCATCAAACAGCAGCTTTTGTGAAACGTTTGGACTCTGAGTTAATACGATCCGATAAAGTTGTGTAATTTTTCGCGCGCGCGAAACAAAAGGAATAGTAGTATTTCTCTCCGTTGAATAAACCTTTTAGTATTGACTGTAACCCAATGTGAAAAGTTTTTTTTGCATTTATTCTAGTAGGATTTTTCAGTTACAGTAAAATATAAGTCTCAGCTTTTTGCGTTCAGTGTCTATCACCTTTGAGACCTTAAAAACACTTATTCTAGAGATCAAGTTTCCTGTCTATTTATTTTCTTTGCGCTTTAGGAGATTTCCTTTCCTTGTTCTCTCTGTGAAATCACTAAAGTTCTAATGGTGCAAGTAAAACATCATTGTGGTAAACCCGCATGCTTTTTCCCGGTCGAGGATTGAATGCAATGTGACAACTGTGACACGTGGTATCATGACGTGTGCACCGGACTCACATTGGCTGTAAATAAAAGGTGATGCTAGTCACCATCACGTTGGTTGTGCAGAGCATGTTGCTCTACAAAATCTCTGCTAATTCTTGAGGCGATCGAGTTGCTAAACATACCTAGAAAGATGCCCTTAGATAAATACCCAGCAGCAGATGAACAGTTTTCAGTTTTCGAGGGAGCAGTGAGTGTTATCATGAGTCCGGCTATGAACTTGAATGAAACCGTCAAGGTGGACACTAATAACGCAGAGGATAACAAAAACACAGATTTCGGAATGGTTACAAGAAAAATGAAAAATCATGCTGAGAAGAAACAAATTATAGGGAGCCCTAAGATATGTGAGTCGACGGTTTCAGCTCCGGATTCACATATCGACGCAAAACAGACTATGGAGGAGTAAAACCTAAGTGGTGTAGATGATGTCAGTCGGTCAGCTACAACGTAGGGTCAGTCACATATATACATCGTTCTAAGTTTCCATACCTAGTTAGCACGAAACATTAACACTAAATTCATAGAAGTAGTCACTTCAATAGCAGTAATGTGTAAAAGAAAGATTGTGTATATAGTACAGGGAGAAAGAAGTGGTTGGTAGAAAGAAAGATATGAAGCAAGGTTAATCTTACGGTTTAAGTAAAGACAAAGTGTGTACATACCGACGCCATTATGATTGATTGGGAGCCATATCACCGAGAGTCTTTAAGCAATGGTTGCGATAGTCACGTGGACCCCAACCAAGTAGTCTGCATCTACCAACATGGCTACGACTAGAAGTTAGTGGCTTTACAGATTGATGCCACGTTTTTGTTTGGCCACCCCAACTTTTTTCCAACCGTCTCCAACACCTGTTAGCATTGCGCGTCGTCGTAAACGGTGTTCAGACATAGGTAACACGCGGTCCAACCATCTCAGCCGATGAAGATTAGCCTATAGTTATACCCAGAAAAGAAAACGGAAGGAAACAGAGCGAGACCTTCGCGTCTGACTCTGGATCGGACTGCAGGGATGAGCAGATTTAAGAAATGAAACTCCACAACTTGTTAGCACGAACCTCGCTGACACGTCAGCCATTTTCTTAAGCAGCCAAAGGCTAGATGTAAACACGGCCTCAGCTATATTAAGTCCTTAATAAGCAAACTACTTCCAGAAACAGTAGCAGGAGTCAACATCCATGAGCTACACAGAATAAGACAAAAATTGGATTCTGTAAGTACCCAGAAAAGCTGCCTCTTAAAAGTTACTTTTGCTTCTGTTGAAGGATGAAACCCAATGCTGGAAAATTGACGAGAACTGACTGGACCCAGAATATATGTCCGTGAGGATTCCAGCCTGATTGGTCATATTAAGAGACGACTGGCAAAGGTAAAAATAAATGAGCGCCACCGGAACGGCGAACTCCACCTGGAGCCCCTCTGCGTTGCCGGTCACGAGCCCGGATAAAGGAGGAGGGTTGGGCATGGGGTTAGAAACCCTATCCCGTAAAAAATTAACTCGCAATATAAACGCTAACCAGAAAAAAAATAATTCAAACAGTTTAAACTCTGCCCTTGGAGTTGGAAGGTCTTCATTTAGAAGAGTTATGATGCTACATGGTGAAAGCCGAGTTCCTTCGGAAGTCACGAGGCTGATTCCCTTTCTGACAATCAGAGCAACCATTAATTTAGGTACATGGAATGCTTGTACAGTGTCGGAGACAGGAAGAGCCATCCAAATTGCCACAGAAATGAAAAGATACACAGTGGAAGCAGGTTGGACAACAACGACTAGCTTCAGGAAAGCTGCTGTTATACTCCGGCCATGAAAAAGAAAATGCTCCACATACACAAGGAGTTGCACTGATGCTATCAAAACGAGCACAAAATGCACTTATAGGATGGGAATCTCATGGACTGAGAATCATCAAAGCTTCGTTCAAAACAAAGAAAGGAGACATTAAAATGGGCGTCATCCAATGTTGTGCATCTAACAACTACAACAATGAAGATCAATTCTATGATAGGCTGTAGTCAATCGTCGATAAGTGCCCAACAAAATACTTGACCATACTGATGGTAGACCTAAATGCCAAGGTCGGAATATACAACATCGCATAATAAGACATGGTGGGACAACATGGACTAGAGAAGGGGACGAAAATGTGCCCTTAATAAACTGGTTATAAACAGTGCTATATCCCCACACAAACGCATACACAAAACCACATGAACTTACCGAGTCACATTACACAGAACCAAATCAACCATACCTACATCAACATAAAGTTCAGGAGGACAATGGAGGATGTGAGAGCCAATAGAGGGGCTGACATAGCCAAGATGAAACTGATACTTAAGAAGCACTGGACAACGGGGCGGACAATATCATAAAAGTTCAATACGGCTTTTCTTCAGGATACTGACAAACTCAACAAATTCAAGGTAGTCCTCAGCAATAAGTTCCAGACCTTTCATTATCTACTCAATGGAGAAGAAACTACTATGGAGAGCAACTGGAAGGGGATCAAAGAGGCAATCACTTCAACATGTCATGAGGTCCTGGGTCACAAGAAGCACCATCACAAGGAATGGATCACTGTTGATACACTGGATAAGATTCAAGAAAGGAAGAACAAGAAAGCAGCAATCAATACCAGTCGAACAAGAGCAGAAAAAGCCAAGGCACAAGCTGAACACACAGAAGTAAACAAACAAGTGAAGAGGAGCATCAGAACCGACAAACGTAAATATGTGGAAGATTTAGCAACGACTGCGGAAAAGGCTGCAAGAGAAGAAAACATTAGACAATTGTATGACACAACAATGAAAATCACTGGAAATTATCGTAAACCAGAACGACCAGTCAATGTATTTCTACTGTGTGGGGCGGAAACCCGGAGAACTACGAAAGCCATCATCCAGGAGATACAAGCGTTTATTAACAGTCGTCTACGCCCAATACTTCGGATCCGTTGGCCAGACACTATCAGCAACAACCTAGTATGAGAGAGAACAAACCGGATCCCAGTGGAGGAAGAAATCGGGAGGCGGTGCTGGAAGTGGATAGAACGCACATTGAGGAAAGCACTCAACTGCGTCACAAAGCAAGCCCTCACATGGATTCCTCAAGGCCAAATGAGAAGAGGAAGATCAAATGACACATTACGCCGAGAAACGGAGACGAACATGAGAAGAATGGAGAAAAATCGGATAGAACGGGAAAGGAAGGCCCAAGACAGAGTGGGTTAGAGAGCGCTGGCCGCCGGCCAGAGCAAATAAGTAAGTGAAACCTTGAAAAAACCTTATGCATAAGCGTTTTCATATAGTAATATTTTGGAACAAAACAACCCCAAAACCACTATGGGTGGCAACGTAAAGCTCTTCACAGAATTAAAGGTGTGCTACACAAATGCTCGCAGCCTACATAATGTAATTGCGGAGCTCAAAACTATGATGAATACAGAATACCGTGATATCATTGCCATCTCAGAGGCATGGTTAACGTCAGAAGTGTATGGTAGTAGGATTGATGGACTAAACTGTAGGGATGGTGGGGTTATTCTGTACACAAAAAGTACCTTAACCATACAAGCTATCGAGGCAGTGGCATACGACTCAGGTACATGTAAACTGGTGCGCTGTAAGCTAAAATGTAAACGGCATGGTGTTGAATTAGTTGTAGTATACCGCGGTCCAGAATGTGTAGTGGATGACTTCCTCCTAAGCAAACTTAAATCCTTGTGTAACAGGGGTGAGAGCCTTATAGTAGGTGACTTTAATGCACAGTTTATAAATTGCGGAAACATAAGAGTAGGGTCATCAACAGCATCATTTGGATGTCAATTGTTAGAAACCATAACCCTCCTAGCTATATTCCAGAGCATTAGAGATCCGACGAGATACGATCTACAAAACTCCTCATCCCTCTTGAACTTAATCTTCACATACGGTGAAGATCAGTCAAATAACTTTTCTCCTACCTTTGGGGAGGAGTGATCATCCGGCCATCTTACACAAGTTCGTGACTGAGATGGTCTGTCAAGCAGTTTCACCGGCCCGTCCTAACATATGAAAGGCAGACACCAAGGTGATCAACTCTTCAGCCTCGGCTGAAAACTGAATAGTTGACTCAGGGGCAACAGTAGAACAAAAATGGAATCATTTCCTGCAATTATATGATTAAGTTACTCAACTATTTATACACTGGATAGTCCCGAAGAAGAAGAAGTATGGCTATCCCTGGATATGCCGGGATATTCGACGTTTACTAAGACAAAAGAAAAAATGTTGGAACATCTCCACCAGTCTTGGCACAGCAAGTACAATAGAGCACTACAGATTGGTACAAAATAAGTGTAAAGTTACAATCCGGGGAGCTCAGTAAAAATATGAAAAACAGTTGGCCTGACCTGTAACCAAGCAGCCTAAGAGACTATTCTCGTACATAAAATTCTACGGAATAAGGACGCAGCATAGAATTCCTAACCTAATTAAGGAAGGACATGGACCTCAACAGATAGAGTATGATCAGGAAAAGATAGAGGCTATGGCTAACTATTTCGGAACAGTCTTCTCTCAGGAGCCTCTTCTAAACGAAAAACTAGACCCAAATATAAAGTCAAAAAATTGTCCGCCTCAGTAAAATTACTGAGAAATATTTTTTTAAAACATTAGAAATCATGTAAGCTACCATAAACTAAGGAGAATTCCATTACTTTGACCAGTAAAATCCTTACGCATGTAATAGCACAACTTACATCCCAATTTCTAATATATCTCAAAACCATGAACTATTTTCCAATAGGAGTTGTAGAGAATAAAATGAAAGTTTTAGTTCCCGAATTACAGCATGAAGATTTTTAGGTTATTGTTTTGAAAGTTACAAGAAAACATCTGTTGTGTAGTGCATCCAGGTATTTCAATTTTTTTCCTCTTTGAAAACCAAAGGTTTGAGGTTCTTTTGATGCTTCCTAAAATTACTCAGTCATAGACAATGTATTCCCTTAGCGTGGACAGGAATCGATTTCAATCGTTATAGGAAACTTAAGCATTAAAGGACAATACACAACTATGTATACCCTCAATCGTCTCACCTTCCACTGTGTGAAACTCCATTTTCATCTAAACTTCCACAGTTATTTGTTTAAGTACTTAAGACTCACCACCCATAATATGAGTTTCGCCAAACGGCGGGTTGTCACGATTATCTGAACAGTCAGCATGTACTAACTTCCACCTTTCTATTCTAGCTTTCACAAGCTTATCTAAACAAAATAAAACATATAATAGGAATACCTCTTCTCTTTTCTTCACTTCTTATGTACAGTTCCTCAATTTTGCTTGGCGGAAGTTTTTTAAAACGTTCAAGGAACTCAGCTCTGCTTTTATGCAAAAGATCCACAGGCTAAAAAATATCAAATATAATGACTTAAATTACGAGTATCTTTAAACGTGAACAAGCTTCTAGTGATCTCGGACTGGTTAGGACATACTTCGAGTCTGTAAACTGAGGATCTTCAAAGTTTTCTAGATCTATTCGAGGTATGTTTTCGTTGTTTGACATCAATTCAGAATTGAGGAGAAAACTGAATAAAATGCACTGAATACGATTTATTAATAACAAACCACTCTTTATTTGTGAAGACGTCGAACCTGTTACCGCGTCCGTGACAACCAAGTCGAAAAATACCAGTGACCTTAAGAATTGTTTTAAATACTTTATCCTCATAGCAGTCACTTATAAAATATTTGGAATCTTAGAACTGATGTTCTATTGCAGGCGAGACTTTTGACTGAAGTGAGCATAAACACTCTGTTTCAATGTCAAATGTTCACTTTCAGTATATTTAGTGTTTTATAAACAAATATAAGATGAACTGATATTTGAAAGAGAAATTAAATAGTAAAAGAGGATAAAGAGATATATCGCGGGACGCGTACATGATGATGCTAACGAGAGCGGTAAATAAATTTTCAAAATAAGTAGCTCTGTAAGTTTTCGACATTGGATGCTGACCAGATTAGTTTTAGTGGACTCACCTAGCTGAAGGCGCTCGGTCATGCATCCGCACCAGAGCACGTGTGGGAACGCCGTGCTCAACATCTACTGCAATCTCTGGCCAGACTAGATCAGACTATTCCGATATATTGGCAATCGTCAAATACAACTTCTGATCTCCTCGATTCTGTCTTTTGATTTCTCTTGGTGGGTACGAGTTATATTAGGTGTTACTGGTAAAAGCGTTGTCAAACACTGAATACCTGTGCCATCTTTAACCTCATATATTCGTTGCCTTTGATGTTGACTTGTTTGAGTATTCGCAAAACGCTCTTAATTTTAATAAGCATAACTATGAAATCGGCACGTGTGCGATCATTACTCGTTTATACGGATCACCGCATGTTCTAATTATTCTACCATTGCATGCACTTTCATTTATATCAAAAACATTACATGATTTCTAGCCACAAAATTATCTTCCTGGAATTTCTTCTTCAGGTTTGTATGTTTCCCAGTATTTCGTATTCGTTAAGAACACTAGTTGCTGCCATAACTGTTAGTATTCCTAATTGTGGTATGTAATGCTCTGGAGCTCTCTCTCTTTATGAGCAAAGTATGCAAGATATAGTTGCCTTTGTGTAAACTCTCTGTTTTTTAAATACGAGCCTTTTAGGTGTATATGAACAAACTACAACTGCTTATATAAACTTTTGACACAATAAATAATCTAAAGATGCCACAGGTATTCGTAGTTTGGCATCGCCTTTACATGTTACACCTTCAAAATTAAAGTATACCAACCCGGTAAATCAGAAGTCAGAAATGAAGGAGTTCAAATATATATTTGGAAAGCTATCGATAAGTCGAAAAGCGTCTGGTCTAAGCTGCCCAGCAGTTACAAGGGATGCGTAGTACGGCCTACACACTTGTAATGTGGCGTAGACGCGTGACCAAGCGCCTTCAGCTAGATGTGTCCAGTGAAAATAATTCGGTCAGCATCAGTGTCGAAGACCCACATAACTATTTATTTTGGGTTTTTTTAGTAGTACAAGCGTTATTTTTCCTCATCAGTATATATGGATTGCATGCAACTGATCAGCTACGTTTTCTACTCATCTAATATTGACTAGTGTATGTAACAACATTTGTCACACGGCTGGGAGTAAATTTCACGTTTACGAGTTACCTAAATGTATCGTAGAGTGTACCGACGTCATGGAATGAGTCGACAGTTGTCCCTATCTTTAAAAAGGGTTCACATCGTTCCTGTAACAACTATCGGGGGATAAGTCTACTTCCGATTGCGTCCGAGCTATTGGCTTCCGTCATACTTCGTAGGTTGTTCAAAACCCGAGAAAGATTGACTCGCGAGGAGCAGATTGGTTTTCATTCTGGTCGAGGATGTATTGATCATATCTTCACCCTCCGCCAAATGCCAAAACACAGCCATACTTATCAAGGGCCAACAATCGTAGTTTATCTTGACATTAGGGCTACCTTCGATTCGTTGGATAGGAATGTTCTCTGGGATTGTCTATTGAAGAAGGGTGTGCCTGAAAAGTTTAATAACATCCTAGGAGCCCTATATGCAAAACGCCTCAGGCAGAGTGAGTGCATACAACCACCTCTCTATTGTTCCATTCGAGCAGTGGGGTTAGGCAGGGTTGCCCAATCTCACCATTCCTCTTCAACTTTGCCATCGATGACATTCTGGAAACAGCTCTGATGGATTTAAGTAATGGTGGTGTGGACCTGTTGCCTGGAGAAAGACTACTCGATCTTGAGTATGCGGATGATATTGTCTTACTGTGCGATAATGCCCAAGCCATGCAATCCGCACTTAATCAGTTGGTAATCAATGTCCGTAGGTACGGAATGTGCTTTGCACCTTCGAAGTGCAAAGTACTTCTACAAGACTGGCAGGACCCTGATCCTACAATCACCCTGGGTAGTGAGCAGACAGAAGTAGTCAAGAAGTTCGTGTATCTAGGTAGCTGCATAAGTGCTGGTGGTGGCGTGAGTGATGAGATCAATGGACGTATAATGAAAGCCAGAGCGGCTTATGCCAATCTGGGCCATCTTTGGCGCCTTCGTGATGCCGGTCTGGCTGTAAAAGGTCGGATCTACAACGCGTCGGTGAGAGCAGTTTCGCTCCATGCTTGTGAAACCTGGACTCTCCGAGTTGAGGATGTTAGAAGACTCTCTGTGTTTGATCATCGTTGTCTCCGAAGGATTGATGACATCCAGTGGCAACATCATGTTGGTAATGCAGAGGTTCGGCATCGTGTGTTCGGGTGCAGAGACGATAATGCAATTGATGTCACCATCTTGAAACACCGACTTCAGTGGCTTGGACATGTTCTACAAATGTCGTCCCAGAGAATTCTTCGTCGTGCATTAATCGCCGACTCTGGGACTGGTTGGAAGAGGCGGAGAGGTGATCAGTGTATGGCATGGTGTCGTGGCATGAAAGAAAGCTGTACAGGACTGGCTTGTGTTGGTCCTTCACGACTCCCTGGTTGCGATCCGAGAGATGGTACAACACAGTGGCTAGAGACGTTATCAGATATGGCTCAGAATAGAAGCCAGTGGCGATCCTGCTGTAACCTTCTTTTACTTTCTTCATAAAAAGTAGTTGTATCTTCCTTAACCGAAAGATTTCTTCTGATTGTACCTTTCCGTTCCCTCATTACTACCACTATTATTATTACACTAACTTACACCAATCTCTCCGCTATCGTTCTCCTTTTTTACCCTCCTTACCTTTTTTTCTTTTTCCTTCTCCTTAAATTCTCATTGTTTTGTTTGGCGCATATATATTTGGCGCACTCTTGTACCAATATGTATGTGTTCAAATTAAATAAAATAAATCATATTAAGCAGTAACGGTATTTTAATCGCTTATTTAGCTTGTCGGTTCTAGATATTTTCGAATAATTTAGACTGTATTAATGACATTTCCTATGTTGTATTTTTCTTCCGTCGTGGCTGAGTGCACTACACTGTCATGATGGAATAGCGTTTCCATCATAGAAAACTTTTCATTTTTCACATTAGCCAGCAAAAATGACAGAGAACGAAACGCTCCCTTCAATATTCATGATGCTAGTATAAATAATTTTTCCCGCTTCATTTCGTTTGGTTGTCATGTGCAGAGTCAAAATTGCGAAAGGGATTTTGTACTCATACTTACACATCTATTTATTACTCTTAAACACACTAAAAAGCGCTGTTGACTCGTCTCATACCAATCCCAGTCTTGTGAACATTACTCGACAAACGGAAAAATTATACGATTACTGTGAATTTTAACGCAAAAATTTAGAATTTTGCTAAAAACAAGTCCTGAATATGGGTCCTTTACACACTAAACGGACGAAGTTTCTTTCCGGTAAGCCTAAACATTACACTTCATCAACTCAACGTCATAAATTAATCTTGCTAATTTTCACGCTATCTCTATCACCAATTAACGTTAATATATTTACTCTTAACTAATACTGGGTCTGATCCTACCATAAAACTTTACACGTTCACTAAGTTAAATTACAACTATCGCCGTCCACCTAATTAAACTTTGTATCTACATTACTTCCGATAATGTCCAGGCCGTCTAAAAAACATATAATCTCTCCTGATGCCTATAGCACCTGCAAAAGATCTAAGTCAGTCACTAAAGCGAATAATGTGAAACCTTATAAACACACTGATCAGTCTGCATCCTACTCCGATCTTCCCTCAGCCACACTAAACGTGCACCGTTTACTTGGACAAGACATATCACTACCTTGCATCTCGCTTGTCGATATAAATAAGAGCAGTCACATACCGTTAGAGTCGACATCATTTGTTAGTCCAAACAAAAGCATCACATGTTGTGAGCAGTATTTAGACGGTGCAGCTGACCCCAAACACCCAACAATCTTACAATCGGCCATCCTGAGTAGCGGCCCACGGAGTACATGTAAGCCTGCCTGCAATAGCCAGCCCGATGATGTAGATCTTGACTACTCACCCAGATATATACCCCATTCCCCAACTAAGTGTGCACAAAGTGACCACCCGCTAGACACCTGTAACAGGCCTGTATGTAACCATATCGACCTTAAAAACTTTGATATCAACTCCAATAATCTCACCACTGGTAGACCTAAAAGCAGCCAAACAGAACTTAGCCTCACCCAAACAGGCATCCCTTCATTCCTTACCAGAATCATACAACCTCCCCAACTGCCCACAATAGGACTAAAATTGCCCACCGCACACAAGGAAGCCATAACGCTGGCCTACTTGGGAACCCACCTACTGATTCTAGGTACTATCTAAGTCAAGCCACCCAATACAACGGTTTAGTCCCCCCTAATTCGACATACACACTATCTCATCCTTTTTTATCTCTCTCCCCCTCAACATTACTGCTATGGGGTCTCCAAATGTTGAGGGCGACAATCCCACTATTCTGAAACCATCTATATACTCCGATTTAATGGGGAGTAGCACATCCTACTCAACTTCGATAACTGTCTCTAGTCTTGAAAACTCCTTGACTGAACCCCCTGATC